TTTCCACCGGATGCCCGTGGGAAATGAAGATTATAACGGGCATCCGTTGGAATTTATCAGACAACATTAAATGCGCCCAGAAAATTCCTACGGATGCCCGTTGGAAATCCGTTGGAATTTTCGATTATATAAGGGCGAGCGTCCATTCTTCCTCATCATTCAACAAGTCTCAAACAAAAAAAAACGAGAAAAAAAAAACGAGCAAAAAAAAAAATCAACAAAAAAAAAACACAAAATGGTAATTGATTTTCAATTCTTGTTCAATTCTTTAATATTTATGTTTTGTATTAATAACTAACTATTGTTTTTTTACAGTTTCGTAGGCGATTTTCTGGTTCCGGAGGATTGTTAGCGGGTTCTTCTGGAGCACCGCCACCGCCGCCACCACCACCTTCTCGTCTTCACTATCCACAATTATTATTAGAATAAATGTGGTAAAAACCGTTACTTTCATTCATTGGTAATTCACTCATACAAAAAAAAAGTTATCATTTTGTTATTTCTTTCTGTTTTTTTCATATATAAATCTATATATATAAATAATTGTGTTTAAAGGATTGTGGTGAAGACACCTAAGCATCCACCTCATCATCTATGTGACACTTTTTTTGTTTTTATTGGTCATTTATATATATAAATAATAGTATTTAAAGGATTGTGGTGAAGACACCTAAGCATCCACCTCATCATCTATGTGGCGCTTTTTTGTTTTTATTGGTCATTTAATTAATTAAAACATATTTTTTTAATAAATACAATGTGACATATAATACAAAAATGAGTAATCAGATTATATGGTGATTTAAAAAATTCTTATTGGTCATTTAAAATAATCATTAATCATTATTATGTTAATTTTTATTAGATTATCACCAATTTTAAAGAGGTGAAATGTGAAATATGTGGATGTTTTTTTAGATATGTAAAACATGAAAAATAACAATAGATTATATTTTATATAAATAAAGAGTTGAAACGTAAATAAATATTTAAATAAAAAATGATTCAATTTATTGTATTAAAAATCTATTTTCATTTTAGTTTAATATATTATTGAGATATTTAATTGATTACACTTATATTTAAAATTTATTTGAGGTCATGATATAAAAAACAAATGCCAATAAATTATTATAATTATAAAAACAAAATGTTCTTAAACACATTAAGGGAACGGTTACAAAAATAAAAAGTTGCTTGCTATTCTATCAATGAAGAAGAGCATGTTTCATTATAATGAGAGTAAATGGATAAATAAATGATATTTAGTGGAATAAACATTTAAAAAGAAAATTAAAGCAAAATAACCTATTGTGACTAAGATGCTAAAGCGTCATCGAAACATGTGGCAATTTTTTAAAATTTTTATCGAATTCTTATCATCTTTCACAATCAAAATTATAATTATTATTATAATTAATTTTAACACATTTATATATAATAATTTTAACACTAATTTTTACATATAAAAAAGGTGAACTAATTTTTACATATAAAAAATATGTGACAAATATAATAATTGAAAATATCAATAGATTATTATAATTAAAAAGACAAAACGTTAACTTTTAACATATAAAAGTTTATTTTGATCTTAGTTTTTTTTATTTTCTTATATTTATATTTAAAATCTATTTTAAAACCTTGATACAAAAAAAAATGTAAGTAGATTATTATAACAAAAAATAAAAAAGTTTATCTATTTTATATAAAACAAAAGAAACGTTCTCTTTGATGATAGTTTTCTCAATTGTCATTGGTTTTTGTAAACCTCTTATTAGCTGAAAATTGTCTATAAATTATTATATTTAAAATATGAAATAAAATTATACTAAAATTTATTGTTGTTAAAAGTATTCACTAATTCAATGATAAAAAACGGGAGAATAGTCTACGATTATTTTGGAGTAAATAAAATTTATTGTGGATTACTTAATGGAGTTAAAAATTTATAAAAAATCGGTCAAGACCGTTCTTTTATTTGCTCAATAATAAAAAAAACGTGATCAGAAGTATTCATTAGCCACTATTAGGTGTCTGTAACGGCACCAGAATGTTCTCTCAAAGGTCAAAACTTTCCGTATAAATAAAGCGATTTCACTCTCTCGATCGACAAATCTTCATCTAGATGTTCAATAAAATCAAACGAAGTGACCCGACAACAATTTGATTCCACGTCGATCTCGGTTTCTTCGACCAATCCCCAGGAAAACCCTCCAAAACCTCTCGCTCTCAGCCGATCCGTCGGTGACGGACGGCCGTTGTAAATACCGTTGTAACATTTCGACGGCGTTTCCAACGGATATTCTAACGGATATCCGTGGCAAATATCGTTGTAAATCCGTTGAAAAATTTCTAACGGATATTCTAACGGTCCCGTCGGAAAATAGCCACGGATGTCCATTGGAATTTCCGTTGATATATCCCGACGAACAAATCCGTTGGAAATCCGTTGAAAATATACCACGGAAAAACCGTTGGAAATCCGTTGAAATATTCCAACGGATGAGGGCGTTGGAATTCCGTTTGGAATTTGCCACGGAATTCCAACGGACACCGATTTCTAACGACGAAATTCCAACGGATATATCCGTTGGAAATCCGTTGGAAAAGTTGAATTCCAACGGATTTTCGGCCCTTTCCAACGGATTTGCCGGTTGGAATTTGGGGTTTTTTTTGTAGTGTTCGGGGCCAGGTCAGGTGGTAAGGGAGCAGGGTGTATCACCCTGAGGTGGAGGGTTCGAATCCTCTCATCGTTTTTCCTTGCCTTTGACCTGCTCGCCTGTCAGCCCATCATAATGGGCTGATTTACCTCCTCCGCGTGTGTTGCGGGCTTGTGCGCGTGGGCGTGAGGTTTGACCTGCAGGCGCCTAAGCCCAACTACGGCCCGAGCGTTAGGCGCGCCTGGTGGCCAGGTCCGGCGGACTGAGGTCCATGGGGACTGTTAGGCGCGGGTGGTGGTCAGTTCGTCTCCGTTTGTAAGGGTAGGTAGTCACAGGGATTCTCCATAGTTACAAAAAAAAATGTGATTCCAACCGTGATTAAACAAACGATCTAAATAGGTATATTTTCAGTTTTCGTATTCCTAATAATTTACTTATACTTCAGAATGTTACTTAATAAAATTAGGACTTATATATTTAACAGTTTTAAAGTTCATATATACAAGATAATACAATGACTTAAAATTTAATCATATGGTTTCGTGGAAGTGTGATAATAGGGAGATGCTTTTGTGTTATATGATCTCTATCATGAACTCATATATATATATGTGTGTGTATATATATATATATATATCATAGTAGTGCATAAACTGATAAACGTATATTGTTCATTCTTTTAACCAAATTGCTGCATATTTTAACCATAGTTTAAAATACATGTACTTTCTCTGACTGATCGGAATAAAGAGAAGAAATAACCATATTACAGAATCATATTATTTGAATGAGTACAGACTTTTCAGTGAGATTTTATAATTATTTTACCACAGTTCTTTATGATTTAAATGATATAATTGGGATCTAATTATAGAGCATCTTTAGTGATGTGTGTGTTCAAAAGAACAAAGAAAGGAAAATAATAGTTTTCAATTAATTGGCATATGAAATTACGAATCTCGTAGATATTATTGAAAAAATTAATTGACAAAAATATATGAACTTTTATGTTAATTGAGGTAACATATTTATTGACTGGTTTTTATAATTTAGAAAAAATCAATGCAATTGATTACAAAATAAATATTCTCAGATTGATAAAGATTACGTGGGCTAGAAATAAGTATATTCGGATGTTTTATATATTTATGATAATATTTACAGACATACAAGTGGATTTTCTATCATTAATTCCTCTGTTACCCTTTGACAATGACATCACTAGCTTTAGCTGCCTAATATTTAATCTCTCGCCCCCATCTCTCCCTCTCTCTCTCTCTCTGTCTGCATGGTGTGTGATAAAATCTCTCTCTCTCTCTCTCTCCCTCTACGATCTATACACATTTTGCTATATATACACACCTAAACACATGTACATATTTGTATACGCACAGTTCTGTTTATCGTGTTGAGGCATATATACAGAAATCTGCAAAGAAACCGGCATAACAACAAATTTTCCGGTACGTGGTCGCTATCATCATTTTGCCGAATATCTCCCGCTCTGTTTTGTGTCTTGTTGATGGAGTATTGGGTCGCCGGTTTGTGGGTCTTGATAACCGGAGTTGTTATCCGGTTATGGCTCTGGTTTAGCCGTATAAATTGCTCGGACAAGAAGAAGAAGAAGGGAATACCAAAAGGAAGCCTTGGATGGCCGGTGATCGGAGAAACCCTAGATTTCATCTCTTGTGGATATTCTTCTCGGCCCGTTAGCTTCATGGTCAAGCGCACATCTCTGTAAGCCTTCTTTCTTTATTTCTTTTTTTTTTCTAATTTAGTTTTTTTTTGTTTCTTTTGTTATGTTAGATCGTTGATTAGTACGAGGATAATTAGTAATAATCCATGTTTAGATGTTAATTTCTTTTGAATTGACTTGACTAATCTAGTCTCCGGAGGAAACAATTTTTTTGTCCAAATCAAAGTTTATTGTTTTCTTTTGAATTGGCATTAAAATCCTTTTTTTTAAGAATCAAATCCGGGTTTATAACTAATTAATTATTTTTAATCACAAGCAAAGGTAATCACATGTACAACTTTTAGAGATCATGAAATTTAAAGTTCCAAGTTAAAAAGATCATGAGACATTAGAACCGTTAATGACGTACCAAAAAGTGTAAAACTATAAATAAAAAACACTCAATTTCACAATACAATTGGCTGTGCTTGCTTATACTATTTGATGTTTGCTTCCCCAAATATATTTATCACTACACATAGAAAATTAACCGGATGATAAACATAAAAGTATATTATAGTTATGAAAAAAATAAATCATGCACGTAGTTGTTATATAATATCCACTGGATTTATAAATTAAAATAAAAACTCTATTTGAGGTGTGCCCACATGAAAACAATGAAATTTCGGCATTAACATAACATAAAAAAGAAGCAATATACACGACTGACATGACCAACCTGTCTTCATGTTCTTCACCACACATTACACAACAAAGGAGTTTGAGAAAGAGATCTTGCTGTTTGATTTATTTAAGTTCATTTCGCATCATCATCATCATCATCATCATATGTCATCTTCTTCAATCTCTTGTCCCTTTTTGTTGTGTTCCTTTTATTTTGTGTATCATAATTAATACAATTTTTTTTAAGCTAGAGCCTACTGATTTGTCACTACTACATTCTCCAACGTTATCAATAATTAAAAAACAAATATAAACACTAACAATATAAAATAAATTAAATGGATATATTAAATTGTTGTTTCATTGGAAAGTTCTAATTAATTGGGTAAATATACATCCAAATCTGAAAATTTGAATGCACTTGTTTCTGAAATAATAATTTCAAAAAAGGAAAAAAGCCCTAAAATATAGAGATTTTATAGGGAGGTACAAAAGGGGGGAAATGGGCAAGAGACAATCAGTTTCTTTTTGCAGTCTGTGTAGCCCCATACATATATCTAAGCCTATTTCCTCATAGGCTTCAGCTTTCCATTAAAATCTTCTTCTCTTTTTAATAAAAATCCGCAAGAGATAACTACTATACACACGCATATATAAATATATATATATATGATGTGATGTGTGTATGTATGTATGCACAATCCTAGAGGCTGTGGATGGGTGTGTATGTATCCAATACAACTAGAAACTTGAAATTAACTACTCATATTCCGGGCTTAGATTTTTCTTTATCATATGCTTTTTTATATATGCTTGTACACTATATATATATATATATACATTTTGCTTATTGATCGCTCTAACAATTGTAAAGAAGATGATGATGATGAATGTACAGGTACGGAAAGGTGTTCAAGACGAACATAATAGGGACACCAATAATAGTGTCGACGGATGCGGAAGTGAACAAAGTGGTGCTCCTAAACCATGGGAACACATTTGTACCCGCTTACCCTAAATCCATCGAAGAGCTTCTCGGCCGTAACTCCATTCTCCGCATCAACGGACCTCTTCACAAGAAGCTCCACACCCTCTTCGGCGCCTTCTTTAGATCTCCTCTTCTCAAAGACCGAATCACCCGAGACATCGAATCCTCCGTCGATCTCGCTCTTGCCTCTTGGGCTCAACTTCCCTTTGTTTACGTCCAAGACGCCGTTAAAAAGGTACTCACATTCTCTTCTTTTACATCCATATCTATATGTATGTATATATATATATATATATGGTTATAACTAATCGTATATTTGGTTTGGTCGCGGTGTAGTTGAATTTGGTATTTTATGTTCAGATGGGTGCAACCCCGATGGAACCTTTAACCAGTAAATAGTAATAACAATATATAATAATGAAATCTCCTTGTGAAAATAAATATTTGGCATGGGGAAGGCCGAATATAAATGTCGAGCATTATTGGTAACCACGATGAGAACATTTGAACGCGAGCTGTCGATGAATTAAATGCTGTGAGAAAGACGGGAATAGAATCTCAGCAAAACATCTCCATTTTGTCTATATATATGTATAATTAATTAGTCGTTAGGAATTTGGTTGTGTGTTTAATTAATGATCCCGTGATTAAAGTGCGATTACGTAATATTTGTGTTTTAATTTTAAATAATTTGGCCGGTAAAATTTATGTATTGTTCAGATCACGTTCGAGGTATTGGTTAAAACGTTGATGAGCATTGGTCCTGGCGAAGACATGGACGTTCTCAAGCGTGACTTCGAAGAGTTCATCAAAGGATTGATCTGTCTTCCCCTCAAATTCCCCGGAACCAGACTTTATAAATCCCTAAAGGTTCATTATCATTATTATTATTATTTATTTATTTGTGTATTTTTCATGTAATCACGTGGTACGCAAGTTTTCACGTAACTAGGGTTTGTTGCAATTCATGCACAGGCAAAAGAGAGGTTAGTGAAAACAGTGAAGAGGATTGTGGAGGGAAGGCAAATGGCGACGGAGAGGCAGAAGTCGTCGCCGGCGCCGGCGCCGGCACCGGAGAACGACGCCGTCGACCTGCTATTGCGGAACTACGAGAAACAATCTGATCCGTCCGATTTCATCAGCGGGAAGATCGTGGAGATGATGATCCCCGGCGAAGAGACGATGCCGACGGCGATGACCCTTGCCGTCAAATTCCTAAGCGACAACCCCGTCGTTTTAGCCAAACTCGTGGTACGCCTTTGATCTTTTTATCTTTATTACACTGCCATAAAAATATAAATAGAGCAAAATCTAAAGGAAATTTAAACTTAATTTAACCAGGTTCATAGTCTAATAATTAAGTTAATCTTTGAGGGAAAAAAAAAGAATTTTACCAAAAAAAAAAATAAAACTAAAAATAAGAAAAATAGACGATAAATGTACAACACACGCGTGTGTCATATATCGTGGGGGTTGTGCAATTTTGAGCCGTAGATCTCTGCGTTGGTCAATAATAGGAGAATCAACGGCTGAGATGCGCTTAAAATTACGAAGTGGAATTATGGTTGTGGGCTCGAGTTTTGACTTTTTTTTCTAGTGATCAAGTCCTACCAAAGGTTTGAGAGACACACGTGTGGATAAACAGGGAGATTGTCGGGATAGGACGCGTGTCAATTTATTAACCGTAGGATTAGAAGGAGAGTGGACGGCTGCAGAAGATGACGGTCTGTATTAACACCTCTGTCTGTACGAGCGGCCTCACCGCCTCTGTTCCCGTCAGAAACAAACGCATTATTATTGTTTTCCACTCCTCGTTTAATGTTTTCACAAAAAAAAAAATTATTTTTTACCTGTTAGAGGTAAAATAAAAAGTTAAATCCCATTGTGTTTTGTTAGTCTAAATTAAGTGTGATGTTGTTTTCGTCCAAGGGGATGATAGTGGCAATTAGTGAAAATATCGGATATGAACAGATGAATTAGTGGGAATTAACTGTGATTCCATAAAATGTAATTATGTTTTTAGCCATGACTGTTATTTTATTATCATTTCGCCGCCAATAGTTTTTTTACGACGGACCACAGTTTCTGACGTATTTTTTCAGTGATTATAATAAGTTTGGAATTATCAAATTTTGAATTGATAGTTACACACTTCGTATTTTATATATAGGGTGAAATTATTATTATTGTTTTGTTAATTGGGCAGGAAGAGAACATGGAGTTGAAGAGAAAGAAATCGGAGTCGGGAGAAGGATACAGTTGGTCCGATTACATATCTCTCTCATTTACTCAGAATGTAAGTCCCAATTATATTTATATCAGAAAATTAAATCTCGCAAATTTATTTATTTATTTTGTAATATTATGAATTATATATTGCTAAATTGATTCTGCCCCTATGAAACACAATAAGGTGATAAATGAAACTCTGAGAATGGCCAACATCATTAACGGTGTTTGGAGGAAAGCTCTAAGAGACGTAGAAATTAAAGGCAAGTTCTCTTTTTTTCAAAAACTTCCAATTCGACCCCAAAGCTTCCAATTATGCTTTCTTAGTCCCTATGGATAGAGCATGTATATACATTGTACAAGTCGTATTCCATGTAAATCACGCTTAGGAACTGTTTCTTGATTTATGATCTGAATGGGACGTAGGTTTGATGACATATCATTCATCTCAAACAATCATGATGATGGTGATGATATATGTATATGTATGTACATATACATATATATATAATATATATAGTTGTCATTTTGTGTGGATGTGTGGGACAGGTTACATGATACCAGAAGGATGGTGTGTTTTGGCATCTTTTATATCGGTTCACATGGACGAAGACATCTACGAGAACCCCTTTCAATTCGATCCTTGGAGATGGGACGTACGTACCAAACTCTGTTTTTTTTATCATATATTATCACGTTCTCTAAATCTTTGACATTTTGTTTTTTCACCCTAAACCTCATAATTACCGTTCATAATCTATTTTTGAGTTCGATCTTGTCCTGTCCTAATCGTGACATATTTTAACATGATTTTTCGGCTTTTTTCTCTCGAATTCATGGGATTCGCAGAGAATGAATGGAACGGCCGGGAACAGCAGCGTTTGCTTCACGCCGTTTGGTGGAGGCCAAAGGCTTTGCCCTGGCCTCGACCTATCGAAACTCGAGATATCCATCTTCCTTCACCGCCTTGTCACCAAATACAGGTAAACTCAATCGCAAACCCTAAACGCTAAATGCAAACGCAATCACATTGGTTCAGCGCGACGCGACTTTATATAACTAACATGTTTTCGTTTCCTATGAAACGCGGAATTCAGGTGGAAGGCCGAGGAGGACGAGATCGTGTCGTTCCCAACGGTAAAGCTGAAGAGAAAGCTACCGATCAGGATTGTATCTATCGATAGTGATAATGATATATGATTAATCGAAAATATAAATCCTTTAGGATATATATGTGATAAAACAAAACATTGCGTGAGGCTAATTATTATTATTATTATATATATATATATGAATATGAGATATGGTATATTTCCAATATTTTTCTCTTGTGGCAATTATAAGGGTTGGTTGCAATGTCGCTTTCCTCTAATTTATCAGATGTAACGCAAGCTGTGTTATAGTGTTGGACTTATCGTATATGCCCCTCTCACAAACACTAATTGGACTTCGATATATAATATATCAAATACGTATTTATATACGATAGATACGTGTGTGTATATGTGTTGTATTTTGTGGGGGAATTACATTAAATGAGAAAGGCCATGCACGACGAATGAAGACGAAACAAAGCCATGAGGAATACACGTGCATGAGTAGACCCACCTCTTTTCAATTATATCATCGTCGGTGGGTCTTCCTCTATCGATTTCACATTTTCATTTCATATATTCGTCGAATTAATTTAGACCCATAAAATAAGAATGAATATTCAGTTAATGTGGATATATATCTCAATTGTGTTTTTTTTCTTCCAGAAATCGTTACATCGCATAGATTCAAAATGAACGTATTTGAAATAGTTTTCTCTCGTACAGAAATTCAACCTATCAGAATTATGCCTTCGCATGATTAATATTATTACAAATAAATAATTAAATAATTAAAAAAAATTCTTACGGTCCGAAAAAGCACAAAGTGAAAGCAACGTTTTGCATCAGTAGGGTTGTCCCGTCTGAGTCAGACGACGTGTACATGACGACCATCTCCGCGACCGACCGTACGGAACAAAGTACCCAACGGATCCGCTGTAACGACGTCGTTTTTAAGGCACTACGAAAGCAGACTATTTGGAAACTATGTTGGGCCTTCATGGTTTAATTCCTATTTGGGCTTGCATTGTGGCCCATCAACCCTCTGTCGGGCTTTGACTGAATCATCGCATGTAATTTATAACTGTTGAATTTTCTGCAAAACAAAAAATCATTTGTGATTTTTTTTTAATTCTAATCATGGAGAGAATAAAAAATGGTGGATATAAATAAGGTACAAAACATTCACAATATAGAAAAGCATCAAATCCATAATTACTGAAACTAAAACTTAATTTAAAATTTATTATTGTATAGTCTCCGAAGGATGCTATTATTGCTACGTGCTTGCATTGTCTCTTTGCATGGTCAATGCCACTAGTGGCCTCGATTACTATGTTCAGACAGCATGGTCCGTCCATATCATTTTATTTTATCACACCACCAAAAAAAAATATATATACAATGGACGGATAATATAATATAAGATCAATCATATATAGCACAAAACATCTTATCTCTGTTGGGATTCCACTGAATTATCTGAAAATGCGACATAATAATGATTCCACTAATTCAATAAATATGTAAATATATAATATCCTTCTCGGCGTTATTTCACTTGTTTAATGCATGCCATGCTTTTCTAAAACGTATTTACTATAAAGTAAATATATGTATATACACGCGCGGATGATATGGTAAAAAATGGTTATAGGAATATAGTGAAAATGATTTCCTATTCGATGAGTATCATGTAAACTAACAAAAAATCAAATAAATACAAACACCTCATCTCATGTGTGTACGTATGTGTCATTCACAAGTGTCTCCCCTTTTGGCAATAATATTCTGCTCGTTTTGTAAAATTTGGTCCCACGGTGTGGGGATATAACATATGATACGGACTCGAATCATGTGAATTAGCAGAACTATTCATTCGTATTTCTGAAGCAACGCGAAAACATTATTTTATTTTATCCCATGAAAATAAAAAATCATTAAAATTATTGTTTTCCGTATTTAAATTATCACGATTATGATTGCAAAAACCGTAATTAGACAACATTGACGAATCTGCAAATCACTTAAGAACTATTATCAACGTTCATCTTTTAGGGTTTCGCCAATAAAAGTTCAACCTTTTTCCGTTGTTGTTGTGGAAAAAGTTCAGTTTTTTTAGTGGGTGGAGAAATGATAAACTTTTTAACGGTAAGTTTTTCCGTTAAAAAACAATGCCGTTTTTGTTAACGGTAATTACAACATGTCTCATATGCTAATCAATCATTATGTTGATAAGTGATCATTACAATACTCTGTTCTTCCATTTTTTTTTTGTTCCAATTTAAAATCATAACGGACAGAATTTGGTTGGTAAAAAAAAAGGAATCATGAAAAAAGAAACAATAAAAAAAGAGGGAAAAAAAAAACAAAGAAAGGGACATGACAAGGACGCGATAACAGAGTCAAAGGCGCCAAATATAACGCACGATTACGTACGTGGCGCGAAAACAATGTGGGTGAACCCGACCAAGATTCCTTTTACTACGCGGTAATTTTAGAGTTACCGTCGCACTTGAATCGCGGTAGTTTTAGCGTTAATAACGCAAACGCTTTTTTGAGGAATTGGCTCCTTTTAGTTACATTTTATGATCAATATATATTTAATTCCCGTAGAGCAGTACAAACTTACAGAAATAATGTCATATGAGCTTTTTTTTTAAACTTATCTGTTATGTAAATATTTTATTAATCGATGGACACACACATATATATATATATACACACACACGTACATCACATGTATGTCCATCACCGAGACTCGAACAAAATATCTATTAAATTCAATATGTAAATTAGAAATTGATGAATTTATAGAGGGAGATAGAATACAAGAACAAAAAGCCAAACTTTATTTGTCTCGGGAATAAGCGACGGACCAACCGTGAAATCCAATCGCTAAACGGCGCGTTAGAATAGCCTTTCTCGTCGAGTGAAATGTAATATCTATTAGGGTTTTGTTTTGGGTTGGATCCACTCGCATTATCCAAATATGAATCCGAATTTTTTTAGATTGTATGCTTGGGAAACTGATTTTTTTTTTATAGAATTGGAATGATGGAATTTTAGATATTCGAAAATAATTAGCAAATCCGACTCTTTGAATCCAGTAAAACATCTATATATATATATATATATATATATATATATGCATATGCATCATTCATGAAACAATATATATATATATATATATATATATATATATGTAATATGTGGATAGATCAGATAGCCGGAAATTATATTTATTCTATCTCGAATCAAATAAGAATCGTAGAAATGAAAAACAAGAATTAAACAACAACAACAACAACAAAAAACAACTCGGCGTAATGGAAGCCGTCACAATGCCGACGTTAACGGAGAGGGATACTCGAGAATCATCAGCCAATAAGAATCGACTAAACTAACGGCGTGAAGCTTCGTAACAGCTGTTGTGGTTATAAATGAGACGGTGTAGTCACGCTAGGCACGTGCACCGACGCCTTTGCGCATGATCTCCCACGTGCCTATTCGCAGGCGTCACCAACGGTCCAACACCTGTAGTTTAGACGAAGCGTAGTGCGACTGCGTGCCGGTTTTTTCCCACACCTAATCTTTCCTTTTTCTGTCGTCTGTCCATTTGACTCGCGCACTTCACGCCGTTGACGCCTATTAGGGTTTATAAATCCTTCTACAATATTTGATTCTGGATATTATGCATATTCGAGGGAATCGAATCTGATTACAGTCTGACCAAAATTCTATATTTAAAGTTAAATGTAATAAATGAGATGACTTTAGCGGAAGTTATATGTCGTACGGAGACTTCTAGACAGCTTCTTCTCACACCTCCTGCCTGCCAAGCACTTTTTCGTGAAGTTACCTAGATACCCTTGGTCAAACTATGTAATTACGAGTCAACCCCCGATGCAGTGCGATGTGCGGACGACTGTCGGTGGGTGATTAGTGCTAGTCCATTAGGGGTAAAACCGGAATTGTCGACTGTAATTAGCATAATCCCTTAATTAAGCAAGTGGTCTGTATTTATACATATCAAGCTCATCAGATCCAAGGGGCCAATTCGTCTCCCGTTTGGTTTTTCCAAATAAGCCGATCTGATTTTGAAATAATCATATGATATTTATAATCATAAAATATTAGCAAACCTCCAACTAATCAATCAATATCACAACCACGTTTACAAAGTTTGTTGTAAATAAATAGAGGGAAAACCATATGTAAATATCTAATTTTTTTATAAAAATTCTATAAAAATAACTGAATTATAAAATTTTTATATAATATTTTTTAAAAATCTAATATAAATATCTAAATTTTTAAGTTTTTTTAAATAATCCACGTCATTAACGGATTGTAGATTTATGTGATTTTTTTTTTCTGAAATCTAGATATTTATATAAAATTTTGTAAAAGTTTATATATTTATATAGAAATTTTATAGTTTATATATTTATTAAAAAATTTGTATAAATTTAAATATTTATATGCAATTTTTCATCTATAAATAATTTAAATATCAACTGTACACAATCAAACTAATGATATTTTAAATAAAAATGTAGGGTGAAAATTACGGATTGATTTAGTCTATGAATACAATACAAAATCACAGAAATTTGATAGAAAAATCGTAAACTTATATTTTCCCGTTAATTGATAAGATTCATTGCAAACAATATAACTATTTCATTTCATAAAAAAAAATATAACTATTTCAATAATAAACAAGCAAATAGATTATTTTAAATCTTCTCCTGAATATTTTTTTTTGCAAATCTTACCCCATAGTTATGTTTGCCAATTTTAAGCGCTTAGATACCGAATACACAAATTTATCAATAGTTTGGAAACATGAATTTTTTTAAAAATGTTTAATAAATTACAAAATGAGGTGTATATATGTATATTGTGTTTGGATCTTGTAATTTATGGCGTCGCTTTCGCCTTGTGACCTATAGTCATCTTGTGGTCCAATATTCACATTAGTTATTCTATAATTAATATATATATATATATATATGTATATATATATGTGCTGCGACCTCTATAAATTCAATTTTGTTCCATCTGCATTTTTTAATTAAAATATTATATACAAATGGGCTGTAAAATCGCAGCTACAGTGTCATGTGAAAGTGGAAGACACATGTTAGCCCGTGGATCCATTTGACGACTGATTAAGACTTTCACTAATTGTACTTTCCGTACTCTAATTAAACTTAATTAGTAAATTGGGTTTTACTGATTTTTATTTATAAAATCTACTAATCAATCTCTGTAACTATGCGAGGTACGATTATTATCATCTGCCTAATACAATAATACTATAGAGATATATAATCACTATCATTTACTAAAGTAAATGAACCGATTAACTTAATTAATCAAACCTAATAAAAAAGGGTTTGGAAAAGATACCCCAAGATGACTTGCGTGATTAGCTGCCGCTTTAATCATAGTGCCCTTTATTTTCCGTAATTTCGTGGCAGAGTTTTCTTCTTTTTTTTCCCGTTTTGTTAATTTATTTTCCTTTGTTGTGTTGATTTTATTATTTTAATAATTTTAATTAATTTAGCAAATTCGGTGGGAGGCGTAGGTAGCTCACGGCCACGCAGTGATACACTTGTGAGATGTGACTGTCAGTGAAAGCCGCTAAATTTCATTCACACCTTTGTATAAATCCCCCCCTCTTCCTTCCCTCGTTTCGCCATTGAAGCTCTCTTCTTCTTCTTCTTCTTCTTCACAGTGGGACAGACAAGATTTCTTCTGTTCATACTAATCTCTCTCTCTCTCTCTCTCTCTCTCTCTGTGATTGTGAATGAAATGGGAGAGATGGGTGCTGGGTTTACTGTTAGAATGTTCGTTTGGTTCTTACTAGGGTTTTTGCTTCTGGGCTCTGAAATCGTCCAATGCAGCGTCACATATGACCGTAAGGCGCTTGTAATCAATGGGCAGAGGCGAATCCTCTTCTCTGGTTCCATACATTACCCACGAAGTACTCCCGATGTAAGATTTCTGATGCAATAACCCTACAGTTCCTCCTCTTCTGTCGGATTCTGGGTTTTGATGCGTTATTGTCTCTTTGGTAGATGTGGGAAGGTTTGATTCAGAAAGCGAAAGACGGAGGCATTGATGTGATTGAGACCTACGTCTTCTGGAATCTCCACGAGCCAACCCCTGGAAAAGTACTTTCTTTTTTCAATTTTATCTCTCACATTCTGTTTTTTGGTGCTGCATTCCTAATTTTGCTTAAGGAATACAATTTTTTTTGTTGGTTTCTCAGTACGATTTTGAAGGGAGGAATGATTTGGTGAGATTCGTCAAGACTGTTCAGAAGGCTGGTCTGTACGCTCATCTTCGAATTGGACCTTATGTTTGTGCCGAGTGGAATTTCGGGTAAGCCCCTGTCTTTGTCCTTTTTTAGATCCAAATTCCTCCAGATTTGCTAAGATGCGTATATCAGTTCTGTCTAAGTGTTTACATGCATGCCCTGTTTGCTGAATTCAATGTATTCTGTCCAAACGAGCAGAGGATTCCCTGTTTGGCTGAAGTATGTCCCCGGAATTAGCTTCAGAACAGATAATGAGCCTTTCAAGGTCTTTCTTATTCCTTTTCAATTCATCTCGTTTTCCCTCTGAGTTCCTGCATGATTGAATTGGAAAGCTAGAATCTTTGGACTGTCTTTTGATGTAAATGCTTGTGGGATAATGTCTCAGAGGGCGATGAAAGGGTTCACTGAGAAAATAGTTGAACTAATGAAGAGTGAGAGCTTGTTTGAGTCTCAGGGTGGTCCTATTATCCTTTCTCAGGTACATGATTCTCTCTCTCTCTCTCTCTCTCTGGTATTAACTATTAAGTTAACCGGAGGTGTCGTGTTTGTTTCACTTGTAGATAGAGAATGAGTATGGGAAACAAGCTCAGATATTTGGTGCTGAAGGTCACAATTACATGACATGGGCTGCTAAAATGGCCGTAGAAACTGATACTGGTGTCCCCTGGGTCATGTGCAAGGAAGACGATGCCCCTGATCCTGTGGTGAGTAATTGAATTGACGCTTGGATCTTTAGATGAATGTTTGTTTAGTAAGTCAAGCTGTTCAGAGAGTTGGACTTAAAATGTTTGGTTAACTGCAAGAACTTGAAAATAGTTTACTTCCTTTTGTGGGATTGGTAACAGATAAACACATGCAATGGTTTCTACTGTGATTCATTTGCTCCGAACAAGCCCTACAAGCCTGCAATATGGACAGAGGCATGGAGTGGCTGGTACAGTCTTGGTTTTGCTTCTACCTCATGTTTATGGCCTTTATCAGAGTTATCTTCATAGTGTTAACCTTTTCTTTTTGTATTTGAATCTGAAATCTGTAAAGGTTCACTGAGTTCGGTGGCCCCATACACCAGAGACCAGTTCAAGATTTGGCCTTTGCCGTTGCCCGGTTCATACAGAAGGGAGGATCATTTGTTAACTATTACATGGTACGTTAACTTCAGCGATTATGTTACCATGCGAGACCTTTTTTTTTGTCTGAAAGCCAAGCTTTTTAATTCATTGTCTGTCCTTGAAAACAGTATCATGGAGGAACTAATTTTGGACGAACAGCTGGAGGTCCTTTTGTAAGCACCAGCTATGACTACGATGCCCCGATAGATGAATACGGTAATGAAATGTTCACATTCATTTACCAGTACGAATCTAAAGCTCTAATGGGCATAAACTGGATACGATCTGTACTTAAGTGAGTCATGTAAAATGGTTATAGGTTTAATCAGACAGCCAAAATATGGACATCTGAAAGAGCTCCACAGAGCTATCAAGTTGTGCGAAAAGGCTCTGGTTTCAGCTGATCCTACTGTCACGTCCCTAGGAAACAAGCAACAGGTTTTGCCTTAATGTCCTTAAATGGCATTCGGATTCGGCTGGTTATTTATTTACTTGATTTTTCACTCTCTTGTGTTCTTGTCAGGCTCATGTATACTCTTCAGAATCAGGGGGGTGTTCGGCTTTCCTAGCGAACTACGACACAGAATCAGCAGCGAGAGTACTGTTTAACAACATGCACTACAACTTGCCTCCTTGGTCAATTACCGTTCTTCCTGACTGTAGAAATGCAGTCTTCAATACTGCAAAGGTAAAAATGCCACTTTTCTCTGGGTTTTTGCTTCTTTGCCATGTTCTTGTAGAGAAAGGTAGTCACAAGAGTTTTCTGAAATTGCGGTTTCAGGTGGGAGTTCAAACATCGCAAATGCAAATGTTGCCTACAAACACGGAAATGTTCCGGTGGCAGAGTTATTTCGAAGATCTTTCTTCAGTGGATGACAGCTCCACTTTCACTACTCCAGGACTCCTGGAGCAGATAAATGTTACACGGGACACAAGTGACTACCTTTGGTACATCACTAGGTAAGACCCAGTTAACGTTTTGTCTTGAAATCTTCTTTATCAAGTCCAGTCCTATACCATAATACATGTAATACCTTAGCAGTCCATTCAATGGTAATTAAGGGTTATCAATCTGATCTACCTGCAGCGTTGATATTGGCCAAACGGAATCCTTCTTGCATGGAGGAGAACTACCAACGCTCAGTGTTCAATCAACCGGCCATGCTGTTCATGTCTTTGTCAATGGACAGCTCTCTGGTATGTTAGTTTCTATTGCTTTGATCAATTAGTTTTCCTTTTTGGATTCTTGATTCATGTTCTGACTAGAAAACTTTATGTGTGTAAAGGTTCTGCCTTTGGAACGAGAGAAAACAGGAGGTTCAGATATACTGGTAAGGTCAATCTGCATGCTGGAACGAACAAAATCGCACTTCTGAGTGTTGCTGTTGGATTACCGGTTAGTGTCTTTCTTCCAATACTGTAAACATCTATCTCACTTTATGGTCCAATATCCGATACGTTCTGCTAAAGATCGTTTTCCCGTTATCTTTGCCTGTAGAATGTGGGCGGACACTTTGAGTCGTGGAACACGGGAATTCTAGGTCCGGTGGCGTTGCACGGGCTTGATCAGGGGAAATGGGATCTCTCGTGGCAGAAATGGACATACCAGGTGCTTTATCTCATCCCCTTTCTTGCGTTTTTTCTCGTCTTGGATTGAATTTCTTCGTACCAAATCCAGCTAACTACTGATTGATGACTCTCTGCTCATCAGGTTGGCCTGAAAGGTGAAGTTATGAATCTTGCATATCCAACAAGCGGTTCCTCTGTGGAGTGGATGGAGGCATCATTAGCTGTACAGAAGGCTCAACCTCTGACATGGCACAAGGTCTGTATACTGGAAGGAAAAGGAAGAATGATGGATTCTGTAAATAGAAGCTGAACTGAACTGAGATTATTATGGTTGGTGGCAGGCTTTCTTTGATGCTCCTGAAGGAGACGAGCCCCTTGCTTTGGACATGCAAGGAATGGGAAAGGGTCAAATCTGGGTGAACGGAGAAAGCATCGGGAGATATTGGACTGCGTTTGCAACCGGGAACTGCAACCATTGTAGCTATGCCGGAACATATAAGCCCACCAAGTGCCAAACTGGCTGTGGTCAACCTACTCAAAGATGGTAAGCCAGATATTTCTGCAACTCAAAACTTTCCATATTTCAGCTGTCCAATTATCAAGAACTGTTCTATAGCTCATGGCTTATGTTTTTCGGAACAGGTACCATGTGCCACGTTCATGGTTAAAGCCGGGACAGAACCTGTTGGTGATATTTGAGGAACTTGGAGGGAACCCATCAACTATATCCCTCGTAAAGAGATCAGTATCAAGCGTTTGTGCTGAAATATCAGAATACCATCCAAACATCAAGAACTGGCAAATCGAAAACTATGGAAAAGCAGAAGATTTCCGCACACCAAAGGTTCACTTGAGGTGCCGACCTGGTCAAACCATATCATCCATCAAATTCGCAAGTTTCGGTACCCCTTTAGGAACATGCGGGAGCTACCAACAAGGACAGTGTCACGCCCCTGCCTCATATGCCATCTTAGAGAGGGTAAAAGGAGATCAAACATTACATGCTCGTTTTCACTCTGTTCTTTCTTAACTGTTTATCTTGTGCCTTTGCATCTGCAGAAATGCGTAGGGAAGCAGAGATGTGCAGTGACGGTATCCAACAGTAATTTCGGGCAAGACCCGTGTCCGAACGTGTTGAAAAGATTGTCAGTGGAAGCTGTTTGTGATCCGGTTACATCCACCGCCAACGGTAGAGGCTAAAAGCCAAACCAGTTACAACAACGACCCCTTTCGGTTCCAACTGTATCCAAAACCATTAACCATACAGCAGAAGACATGACAGGAAGAAAACCCCAAGTCAGAAACATAAGCTTTGTGTCAAGAGAGTGTGTAGTTTGAACAGAGAACTTGTTTTTAGAGTAGTCTTGTAGAGTAGACCTGGGCAAATCTCCGGGTCGGAAAACGCACGGTCACCGGTCACCGGCCTTTTAAACCGGTTGCAGAGGCCAGGGTTCATTGGGTCAGAGTGATTTTTAGTTTATGTGTTTGTAGTTGAAGGGGAAAAGGGAAACAGAGTACCCGACGACAAGAGCTCATGTTAGGAGTGGGAATCCTAGTGTGACTTGTTCCTTGAAACGTGTTTGTGTTCTTCTTGTCCTAATTCTTCTCCTCTCTCTTCTAGGGTCGGATTATTAAATTCTAATCTGTTTGGTTTTGTAATGTTCAAATTAAACATACCCGTATAGAAGTTTAAGTCCTATGAGGATTCTAATTCTGGTGAGGCAAAGACTTTATGTCGAAGTGGGAGTCTAGAAATATTCAAACCCTAACTTCGTAACAATCCGAAACAAGATCTGGGTATATCAGAATCACTGCTTAGGGTTTCAAACTCGGAATATTCCCTGAGAAATTCTTATCAGAATCAGATAAAATCTCAACAGAAAGGAGAGAAAACCCTCTGTCTATATAAATCCTTAGAATCGCAACAAACCCCTCTCACTCGCAAAGAAGAAAACTTTCTGAATCTGCATCACGAGATTTGACATGGGTTCGTCTCGAATTCTTCTCATCTTCTCTGTTTTGCTGTGCATCGCCGTCGTCAGCCATGGCGGAGCCACCAGCAGCTACGTCCGAACAGCCCAACCTGCCACCGAGATGGATCTCGAAACCTTCCCTCCTCCTCCCGGCTTCAACGCTCCCGAACAGGTAGGTCCCTTCTTTTTTAATCTGTTTATCGATTTCGTTGATTCGAATCAAAAACGAAGACGAAGTTGGTGCGGATGAACCTCTTTGTTTCAGGTGCATATAACGCAGGGAGATTACACGGGAAGAGGAATGATCATCTCGTGGGTAACGCCGTTAAATCTGGGCTCTAACGCCGTTACTTACTGGGCAGCGGAGAACAATGGGAGGCACAAGCATAGATCTCACGCGTCCACGAAGTTCTACAGATTCTACGACTACACTTCTGGTTACATTCACCACGCCACCATTAAAGGACTTAAGGTTTGTCCGGTTAACTTGTGAGACAAGTAAAACCCTTGTTTTTAGGGTTCATGAATTCAACCCTTTTCTTCTTCTTCTTCTTCTTCTTCCTGTGTGTGTATTCAGTATGATACTAAGTACAATTATGAGCTTGGAAGCGGTAACAGCACGAGGAGATTCTCCTTTACTACTCCCCCAGAGATCGGACCCGATGTTCCGTACACATTCGGAGTCATGGGTATGAACTGAACGATCCACAGTTTATATATCCAAAGAGAATGAATAAGTAAACGTGCTTAATTTGAATGGATTCTCGGGTGTATATAACTCTATTATCATTGTTTCAGGTGATCTAGGGCAAACTCTTGCATCTAACGAGACACTGAGCCATTACATGTCGAACCCGAAAGGACAAGCCGTGCTTTTTGCAGGGGACTTGTCCTATGCAGACAACCACCCGAACCATGACCAGAGAAAGTGGGATTCTTGGGGCCGGTTCGTCGAGCGCAGCACCGCCTTCCAGCCCTGGATTTGGACCGCCGGCAACCACGAGCTTGATTTTGCCCCAGAAATAGTAAGATTGATTGTTGATATTTTCATATATGAAACATGTTTACTAGATCAATGGGTTTAACCGGCCGTCGAGATTTTACAGGGAGAAACTCATGCCTTCAAGCCGTTCACGCACCGGTACCATGTCCCTTACAAATCCTCGAAGAGTACTTCCCCTCTTTGGTACTCCATCAAACGTGCCTCCGCCCATATCATCGTGCTCTCTTCTTATTCTGCCTACGGTACGATAAATCGCTCATCATTCACATGCTGTTCTAGGGTTTTGGATTATCCTCTTGAGTTTCTTGCGTCACACGTTACACAGGGAAGTACACACCGCAGTACACATGGCTCGAGCAAGAGCTGAAGAAGGTTAACCGGAAAGAGACCCCGTGGTTGATAGTGCTCGTACACTCGCCGTGGTACAACAGTAACAACTACCACTTCATGGAAGGAGAGACCATGAGGGTTATGTTCGAGTCTTGGTTGGTCGAGAACAAAGTCGATATCGTCTTCTCTGGTCACGTCCATGCCTACGAGCGATCCGAACGAGTCTCAAACATTCAGTACAACATTACCGACGGCCTGAGCTATCCCGTCAAAGACAAGTCGGCTCCTGTTTACATCACCATCGGCGATGGTGGCAACATCGAAGGAATCGCAGACTGGTAGGCAACGGTTGGATCCATCGCTTTTTCACGTTCTTGATTTTTTTTTTTCAATCAAGATTCTGAATCTTGGTTTTTGTTTTCCTGACAGCTTTACGCAGCCACAACCGAGTTACTCGGCGTTCAGAGAGGCGAGTTTCGGACACGCGCTTCTGGAGATAAAGAACAGAACGCATGCCCTTTACACGTGGCATAGGAACCAAGACAGCGAGCCTGTCGCTGCAGATTCGCTCTGGTTGCACAACAGATACTTCTTCCCCGAGGATGAGAATGTTTCCGGCAACTCTAGGGTTTGAGTTCTTAGGGTTTTTTTTTTCGATAGGATCAGTCTTTGGTTAATAAGCTCTTCTTTGATTTTGATGTTGTTCCGTTACTTTTCATGGTTTTTTTTTATAATCAGTTTGGACTTTTATATATATTGTTGTGTCGGATTTTTCTACTATCTGTGTCAAGTGGAAACTCATGGCTACTAAAGAAAGATATAAAGAGAACAATAGTAGAAATCGTAATTGAACGCATGAATTTACGTGAAAACTCCAAATGGAAAAAAAACACATGGAATAATAATAAATTTTGAAACATGTTAAAAATAATATAAGAATATTACAGATGACAGAATAAATATTCGAGAAAAAACAATAATATTACAAAAAAGAAAATAAGACGAGAATTAAAAGGCACTAGAATTCTAATATTTCCTATTGATGTTTCATCTGTCTCTAAGTTTGGTGTAGAGCTCCTCAATACGTCGCCGTTTTACAATACGCTAAACGGCTAAAGGAACAAAACAGATGGGGCGTTCCGAGAATCGAACTCGGGACCTCTCGCACCCGAAGCGAGAATCATACCACTAGACCAAACACCCATAGAAAATAAGTTATAAAATTATAAATTCCATGTTCTAAGATGTCTTTTATTTCACATACGAGTCATTGGGAATTAATTGGAGGGTCCCTATACTTAAGCCCCATTAGCGACTATCTTCTCCCCTAAAGAATTAAGGGGAAAACTTTTTAAAAAAAAATCAGCGCATTAAAATACTAATACGAACATCCCTCGATTCTTGGGACAAGAAAACATTTATTTTAAGTATCAAAATAAATGGAAATAAAATTATTTAATCTCGATTCCATTTGTAAGATGCATCATCTTGCTTCTTCTTTTTTCCCGGCAAAAGTGGTAAAATGGGTGAGCGAATTACGTTAGTTTCGACCGTACGACCTTTTGTAGCCATTGGGACAACCGGGAAACCAACACCGACCGGCGTTGCCGGGACCACCACTTCCGTCGCCTCCCCATCCAAATCCAAATCCCCATCCTCCTCTGCCGCCTCCTCCCCCACCACCTCCTCCTCCACCACCGCCACCTCCTCCGCCGCCGCCACCGCCACCGCCTCCTCCGCCTCCACCGCCGCCTCCACCGCCGCCACCATAGCTTCGACTCTTCTTTTTACGAGGTTTGTTTTTACCATTTCCTCCCCCTCCACCGGCACTATCGCTTCTGGTCTTCTTTTTCCGGAGTTTCTTTTTACTATTTGCTCCTCGACCTCCTCCTCCATTTCCACTTGCTCCTCCTCGATTATCCTCGTCGACTAAGACATTTTCAAACGCCGACGAATCGTTCGCTCTCTCTCCATTCCCCTTTTCTACGTCAACGCTCGCAGAAGTACCGTTAACATTGGACATTGACGGTCCATTGTTTCCCTCCTTTAAGTCTCGAAGCCCTTGAACAGAGCTCGGGATCAAGAACGCAGAAGCTGCAACTAACAAGAACACCACCACCAAGCCTCTTGTAGGTATCTCCATGTGTGTGTGTATATGTTTTAATACATTTGCCTTGGAATCCTCCAACTGGTTCGAGATGCTCAAACACCCTCTCTTCCCTCCCTTTTATAGTATTCCTCCATCGCCGTCCTTCTTTAAATGTTAAAAACATATAATTATTATAATAAGCACATCACATACATTCCCCCGTATGGTACCTACCAAATTTATTTAACCTTAACAACAAAGTTTACACGAGAATCCAAAAATTGCAAAACTCTCTTTTGCCCTCTTAGTAGGTTGTGTAATCACCAAAAGGGCATGTGCCCTAAGAGACAAGCATAAAGATTTTAATAATGTGTTCACACAAGACAAGATGCTCTAAAAACATATCTGAGGTTAGAATAAAGACCCCTTTGTCATCTCTCCTCATCCTCCCTCCTGCATCGATGTGATATATAGCCAAAGAAGCATATAATCAGTGCAATTTCAACAAAAGCTTCATTGAAAAAAAAAATAGAGTGGAAGAGATCAAGTAATAGCATATGGGTTTGAAGACATACATATCTTGTTGAAGACCACAACGTCACAGCTCTGGACATATTCATTGATGGGTTCGACAGTTAGATGCTCCTCGATGAGGGTATCAACAGAAACGAGGTCATCGACAATGGTGAGCATGATCTGCATCTTCTTGATACCGTAACCAAGGGGTGCAAGCTTTGCTGTAAACAGTCAGAAGTTAATGCAATGTTAGAGCCAATCAATGTAAAGGGACAACAACAAAAGATTCAGAAGAGAAGAGAGTGAGACATTAAGAACTCACATGCTCCCCAAAGCAATCCTTCCATTTCAACGCTTCTCACTGCCTCCTCGTGCTTCTTCATGTCAGTCTCGTCATCCCATGGCTTTACGTCCAAAAGAATCGATGACTTACCAGCTGTCAAGGAAAAAAACCCAAATTCAACACTCGAGAGAAGGAGGAGAATTTAGATGACAGGAAAGCATTTTGAGCAAATGCGAACTTGCATTCCTTCTTCTTTCCGGTAGCCTTCACAGAAGCTGCACATTCCTCGGCATCTTTAGTTTCCTCCTCAATCTCTTCCCCGGAAAGGTCAACATCATCATCATCACTGTCTTCAGCCTCGGCAGCCTAGATAACAGCATGACACAGACAGAGCTCTCAACAAAGTTCCAAACTTACCATGTGGAACCTGAAAAAACAAATCACATACCTTACAGTTCTCTGCCGGGGGAGTGGCAACAGCCTCTTCAGTGATAGGAGCAAAGCCCTCACAGTGACACCGCTCCCTTCAGCAGATGCACCTCTGTGAATGGAAATCATGAGTAAAAGGACATGATCAGATAGCGGATCCAAAACTCGAAAACCCGAGAAAAGAGGGCGATGTCGGGAATCAGGACTTACGAGATCCTCAAAAGAGCATCAATGTGGTGGTACCAACGGGAGGCATTCACATACTCCAAAGTCGGAGGCTATGAGAGAGCCGTGTAGGCGAAGAGATCATCCTTTGAAGCCTGGTATCTATAATCGTACAAACAAACGATTACCCAATACTAATCTACAACATATACAATCTGCAATTCTTAATCCGCCTAAAAGGTATCTAATGATCGTGGATACGTTCACAACTAAGAAGAGCCTCAATCAGTGATGCCCATTCCATCGATCCAAATGGCATCGTATCTACCATCAATTACGATCTATAACATTATCGAAGGAAAAAGACTTAAAGAGAATTTCACCCGGTGATGTAACTGCAAGTGAGCAGATACTCGTCGCGCTTCTTCAATCCAGCATTTGATTCCAGGTTGGAGAACGACACCGCCATTGTTAATGAAGCTCGAAGCTTATTCCTGAAATAACAAAGACTAACAATTTCAGAAGAAAAAAAATCCTACATTACAGAAACCAAATCGATGTCCAGGGGGAAGAACACAATCCCGCAATTGATTCACGAACAAAACTACGCAGAGACGCAAAAGGGAATATCGATCCGAACCAGACGAATGTAGTATGTGGCGCAGCCTTCAACCGAAACAGAGAGAGAGAAGAGGATTGCCTGGGCACACGAGAGGGAGAGGGAGATCAACGAAAAAAACGGGCATTAATTGGACACGTCTAGGGTTTGATTTGTGACCGTTCAATCACTATGCTGAGATCTGACGGTGCAGAATGCATAAATCCAAGTTGTTGTTAATTTCGGCCGAGCACCTGTCGTATTGGGCCTATATGCTTAATTAGTTTTGGGCTTTATTTTACTGGGCTCTCTTTTAACAATCTAATCTCAACCCTTGGTCTCGTATTGAAGTACGGTAGAAAAATAACTACCGCAAAAATATTTTTATAATCCAAAAATTCACCCACCTATATATTCTAGAAAACTTAAAAAATTCACGTAAATACCCTTCTACAAATAAAAATTCAAATATAGATTAGAAAAAAAAAATTATTCCTTTCTATACAAGTTGAACCACCCAATCTTGCTTTAATTTCTTAATATCAATGCTTTTGCCTGTAATTTGCTCTAATTTCTTAATATGAAGACTTTTGCCTGTAATAAAAAAAATAATGTGCGTATACTAGCTATACATATGTTCCTACCAAATAAATAAATGACACTTACATATACAGAGTTATTACAAAAATAAGTGACTCGGATCTTGCCAAACCAACCAAGCTTTGATTTCAACAGAATGTGCAAGCATACATTTATGGCATTGCCATGTGCACGCATTGATGGGCATACATCCAAAATGTGTAAACTCTCATATACATATACATATACATATATATATATATATATATATATATATATAACTCCGATTTCAAACTATTTAGATTTGTCCGGTGGATGGAGACTCCTGAAGTGACAGAAGCCACAAACGTACATCCAAACCCATCTCTACATATATATGTCCACACTATCGCTTTGGACATATCTAAGATGACGCAATGCATACGTAAAGATCGATGTAAGACTTCGGATGTGTTACGTTCTAAAATCGCATGATTTACGAATAATGAGATGAAACGAGAAAATAAAATTGAAATGCAAAAAGAAGTGTATGTATCATATAATGATTTTTTAGTTATAAATTACAAAAAAAAAAATCTATATAGAATAGAGATGTGTTAATAAAAATAAAATATCCCCTATCAAAACAAAATAAAAATAAAACACCATTAGTTATTATGAAGAATGTTATCATATTTATAAATTTTCAAAACGATAAAGTCTGATATGGCAGTAAACAACGTTACTTAATGAATCAAGTGCATTATAGTCAAGACCTCTATATAGACCCTGCAAAATCAAATGAATTCGTCAATAATACTTTTGCTTTTTACCGCATTTAAATTTTTTTATCATTTCTTTGTTCAGATTAATTCACTGTAGATTCACCCAATTAAATTTACCTTAAACCGAAACTATATCCACCTTGAACCGAAAAGATAGCTTTGATGAAATTAAATTAAATTCTTTCTCCCAACGACCACTCGAACATGAGATATGGGACAAAAACATCCATTTTTTCTCGATCAACTACATCACTCGACCTATTCCGATTGTATCATATTTAATTTTTGCGTCATCAGAAGTGCAAATACTATATATCTATATCTATATCTATTTTTTATTTTTTAATCAATTTTAATATATATATATATATATATATATATATACATATTGAGATTTCTTAAAATTATATATTTTTTCAATCATAAAATAGAAAACTAATTTTATAATTATTTTTTATGATAACATTGTAAAAAAATTTAAAAACTTTATGACTCAATTTTTTAAAATTAAAAATAATATTTTTTTATAAAAAAAAATGAGGTCCCAAAAAATTAGGGGCTCTGATATTATACATATAAAATGGTGTGATTCTGTGAAGGAAATATAATAATAGAACTGATATCACAGAAACAGTTTGCTTGAATGTGTCAAAATTTATAACTCAATTTTTAAAAACTAAAAATAACATAATTTTTTTTAAAAAGTGAATCCCAAAAAATTAAGGGTCATGTTGAAATGCACCACTTGCACTCCCTATAAGACGACGGCTCTAGTCTCAAAAGCAACCAAACCATAAGCTTTAATTAAGCCCTTACTATTTCAACCATCTTAAAATGACAAAAAAAATAATTTAAAAAAAAACATCTAAACCCATTCTGATAATACAATTGTAAATAAATTTTAATAATATATTTGAATATTTATTGACATTGAAATTCTTTTTTTAAAATCTTAAATCTTTTTTAATCTGATATTGTAAATAAATTTTAATCTAAATGTCACTTGAATTTTCAAAACATTTGAATTATAGTATCAAATTCGGGAATAGACTCTGAATTTGAACTTTCGTATCATTTGTCGACGTCTATTTTGTGGCCATTACGCAATTATTAAATAAATAACTAATATATAACATTGAATATTCTGATATGCTCCGATTTTTGTATTGGATGTGTCAAAAGGAAATCCACGACTTGTCTTGTTCCGACAGAGGGCTGGCTTTTTGGATAGTGACTCCAAGAAAAAAACAATTTTTTTTTTAAATTTATGAAAGAAAAAAGATAATCACTGAGATAATTTTCTTGTCCATTTTATAAGATTGCGAATAATATCGCCTTTCGAAGACGCAAACACTTCAATCTCATCGAAAGATCTGTCTACAACGTGAAACGATAAATAAATATGTATTTACACAACACTTAGTGCATCGAAAAAATATTAAATTAAGAAATACAAAAAAAAAACTGCATGGAAAATACATAAAAAAAATATTCTGCATAATGTGTGTTTTTTTTTTTAAATTATTTAATTAATTTTCAATATTTTTCGTTCAACAACTTTTGAAACGTGGAAACAGTGTGAATTCACCGTCGTTGACGATTTGTATGCAAATAGCGTGTCTGACCAACTACAGATTTTCATTAAATATATAATCCATTAGATTAATTTAAATTAGAAATCATGTTGTTTGAACGGTAGGGATTTAACAAATTAACAGTCATTAATGTTACGATATACACTTATTATGTAAACGATTAGATGCTTATCTCGTATTGACGTGCTGTGGTTTAGAGTTTTGTAGGGATTTTTAGTATTCATATGATAAATTTCCGTTATGCAGATATATACTTAGAGATCGTAATTTCAAACATAATAAATATGAAAGAATTATAATAGAGTCCATATAAATAAATTGTGTTTTGTGAAATGTAACATGTAGAAAACTGTGTATATGATTAGTTCCGGTTTTTAAATTTAAATATTTTTGGTGAAACCTAATTAAGCCTTGGAGGTTCATAATCTTCTAGACTCTCTCGATACATAATACAAGGAAATATATATCTGCATGTATGCATAATGATTGACATATTGCATGTATATAAATGCGTCCACTCATTATGTAATTGAAAAATGTATTTGCCCATGATTTTATTTATATTATTATCGATAAGAAAAATATATTTAATAAAAATGGACCAACTTTCGTCTTGTATAGTTTATATAAGCTTAGAAGGTCTTAAGCTCTTTTCCTCTTATGCTAGCAACATTCAAGTTGATATATTTCAGTCATTAAATAGTAAACTAATTAATTACAAAAGTTGGTAAAGCACATATATGATTTATTTACAGCTATAGAAATTACTATAACAAAAAAAAACGACACGCAGTCTATCCATTAAAAAAACGACACGATTGCATAAGCTCCTAAAACCATCTGATCCACCCAACGGAAACCAAGCTGTCTCCAAATCGACGCGACGTGAGCAATAAGTTTTTATTTTTTTCCATAAATCTTGGATTTTTTTTCATTTCAATAAATAATTCGCTATACAATTTAACAAGATTTTTGCTTTAATTTTTGACAGTTACACACTGACCTTAATACGCCATTAATGATATATTTTTAATGTGATTGATTTTAAGGTGTAACCTTATATCTTGGTGTAATTTCTGCATTCGTGTTGCTAGACAACATTACACATTGAAAAGATCATTGTGGACAAAAAGACAAATGATCACACGTATCACATGTTATAATAGTTATGAGCCAGAATCAGTAACAGCTCAGTGGGTAAATAAACCGCAGTATAAGTTGTTCGCGTTTTTACTGCTATTTAATTTGGTGATGTGGACCGTTACTTACCATACTATATACATAAACAAACAGCAGGAAACGGTCAAAAGATTGCGTAATTATCATCTTAGAAGCATCAAAATGGATTCACACCACATTTAAAAACAAAATAAGTCATTTGAACAACGGCCCCCGACGGCATTTTATGGTAACTTTTGCCAATGTATATCATTTATGATAAAGTAAGAGAACGAATACTCTTTGTAAATTCGTTTGTCGCAGATGGTTTGCTATGCATGTGCCCTTTCAAACCCTATACATAATCTATTTAGTAGTTACATATTGTACGCAATTTAGAAATCATGCATGGTATAGTGACAAATACGTAGACAATATTTTTTTTGATAATTCGAAAATTCGCCAAACTTTCGATCCAATTACATCTTTCAAAAGATCGGAGAAGACTACATGAATAGCCCTCTCCAAATGGATAAACAATAATAAATTAGTATTCATATATTGATATTGTATGTGTTTGCCTTGGTGGATCGAGAAGAAACCCCCCTTGGACCGTTAACCCTTTTTTTTCTCATGAACCCTTGAAGAAGAGGACAGTTTAATTTTTTTTTTTTTTGTAAAAAGAAAATTGGTAAATAATATAGAAACATGTCATATAATATAGGTAGCTTGTTGGTCGGACAAAAAATTAACACAAAAACAACATATATGGGAATCATGTCGATATATATATATATATATTAATTGGGATTAAAATGACGTTATTGTGATTTGTGATGTTTAAACATGCATGCCACCTCAAACTTATCTTGGTTGTTAAGCATGACTATTGATAATTTGATATTATCGATCGGATCATTATTTTTAAGCCAAAGGGTTATTATAAAAGAAATGGACGGTCTCTCTCTATCCTGCCGATGGGAAAAACTGCCACAACTCAGCTCTTATGTCGTGTCATAATAATGGGTGCGACGACATTTTCGGCGGTTCCCATGTCTTGTCTTGACAACTGGTATGAAAAAAGGAAATTCATAAATTTAATACCTACGGCACAATATTCAATATATTTTACGCAATTTTACATCACAAATTAATCGATATTTGCATAATTTATTCCAAGTTTATAGCCATCTTTCATCGGTTTACTATTCAGTTGAAAAACCAGTCGATATTTCACCTGTTTTTGCAGCACGTTTTATAAGATTAGGATATGATGGGAGACCAAAAAAATAGGAGAATAAGGTAAATTGATTATACCGTAAACACGGTTGAAATGATAATTAGAGTGTAATTGATATTTCCCCCTCTAATTACGCCCATATTTTTATACAAGTAGACGAGTCTAACAATCTCTGTGATATTCAACTAGTCGATTTCATCCATCTATACATATGTGTTAGGATGATCGTCTCAAATTAATTATATAAAACCAAATAAAATTAAATTCAATAATATATATTCATTTACAAAACAAATTTAATTTTAAAATAGATTACGTATTATTATTTTTAAATAGAATTAATATAAAATTCATGAAAAAATAAAACAGCTTTCAAATATTTTTTATTAAATATAAATTTGATTTGAAAATGAACAAATAAAAATAAAAAGAGAGAAAAAAATCGAATTATTATAATTTAATAATAAAAAAACAAATATACAATACGTTAGAGTTGAAGAGCTCAATTGCAAATAATTTCCTGGTTATAAGATAAGATATAATGATTCTGTGACAGGACGAGCTATCGTGTGATTTGATTTCACCAATAGTTTCGTGTATTTTTTTTTAAAAAAACTTCTCTTCGCTGTCAAATACTGTCACGTGTGTATTTGTTAGAGTGTTCCGGATAATAAATGGGAAGATTGCGAAAAGATACTTTTGACCGTTAGATCCGATGTCGGTGCGCGATTTAATTATAATTTACGTTTTTATCAATTATTCAACTATAAACATGTATATAAAATGGGTAATGGAATCATAAAGCAAATTGAGGAATAATTTATTTATTAAATAAAAAACGATTCTCAAAAACTAAAAGATTTAGATTTTTTCTAAACAATCGAATCAGAATATATATTACCATCAATTGAAATATATTGATATTGTTCTCACTCACAATATAAATATTTGATCCAAGTTGTGTGACCGATCCAATAAAATAGCATACACGTAGATAGTTCATTTCAGCAAATTAATGTAAATCAATTTGGATATGAGTTTATAGTTAACAGCAATTAATTATTTCTTGTTAACCAAATCCAAGGGAGAGGAGCAATCACCTCCTGGATTAGGGGTGTCAAACGAGTCAGCTTGTATCATGTTGCGCTCAACACATTTGGTTCGGATCGTTTTGGGCTCAATTCGTTAGGTTTATTTTCTAACGAGCCAGAAAAACCTCGGTTCAGATCGCTCGCCAGTTTTCCGATCTGAACAAGCCGGCTCGTTGAGCCAATGATATATAATATTTTTTATTTATATTTTTATTTTAAATATAATTATAAATTTAAATAAATACATAAAAATTTAATAAAATACCAATATCATTTAATATTTTCAATTATCACCATCATAATAATTAGTATATTTATAATATCATATAAATGATATGAATAAATTAATATAAAATTATATTAGAGTTTTTTTTATATAAATTTAATTTATTTTAAAAAAATACCAGTTCGTTGAGCAGCTTACCAGCTCGCCGAGCCAGGCTCATTGAACACTTGTTCAATGAGTTCTAGCTCGTTAGATTCGTTGTTTAACGAGTTGAAAAAATTACGGCTCAAATCGCTCGTTTTCTGGCAAGCCACGAGACAACTCGCGAGCCGGGCTCGTTTTGACATTCTAACCTGGATTTTTCTAGAAGATGTAGTTGGGCCAAAGACCCGATGAACTTTCGGATTATCAAAAAAAAATATTTCTTGTTAGCAGTGTATTTAAGAGCTAATCAGTATGCCTTTAATTAATTTATATTAAGTATGATCTCACGTGTTTAAAGAGATAATCACATTCGAGTCAACATATACCGGCGCTCTTGGGGTTATCTAAAAAGCAACATTGAGATATGTGCCGTTGTTTTCTAACCTATTATATATATATATATATGTGTGTGTGTTGATTACATGGTAGTTCTTATCAGATCAGATGTTTATTTGTTATGATTTTACGTATTTTTTTTTGGTCAAATACATATTACAATTTATATATGATAACACTGATTAGTAGTAACTAAGTCGATTTATTTGACTTTTAATTGAGTAATATATTCAATGGAATATTCACCATCCATTCGGTTCTAGGTTTCGAATTTTTAAAATAAAATTTCCAGCCATATATAAATAAAAACCGAATATTAGCGTACCATCACTGACATTACTTTTATCTAGATTCAAACTTTACCTAAAATATCCATAATTTCAATTGCGGACTCTATTAATGTACACATGAATAAAAAGTACACGTAGCCCATAATCTTACGAAAATATCTTGTAACCAATTTTAAAAATACGAATTAACCCTACAGTAAGAAGACCGTATGGATATACGTGAGGGAAATTCAGTCGGACCCACGAAGGGAGACCAGAACAAAAAATGTTGGGTCCAAACTTTTATTATATAAAGGTCCCTTATATCAATATATCCCAAGATGGCAAGAGCTTTTGCCTTCACAAATCTCTTCAATAAACCATTTCAAAGGCTGAAGCCAAAACAGAAACAGTAACTCGAAGAATCAAAATTACAATAGAAATGGAGTTTCCACCACGGACACTTATCCAAGTCATGGACCCTCCCATGGCTCTCATCCTCATCGTCTCTCTAGTCTTCTTCCTCGGCCTCATCTGGCGGACGCGAAGACGACGGCCGTTTCCTCCCGGACCGAGAGGCTTACCGATCATCGGAAACATGTTGATGATGGACCAACTCACGCACCGTGGCTTAGCCAAGTTGAGCCAAAAATACGGCGGTTTGTTCCATCTCCGGATGGGCTTTCTTCACATGTTCGCCGTCTCGTCGCCCGAAGTGGCACGACAAGTCCTACAGGTTCAAGACAACATCTTCTCGAACCGACCCGCGACCATCGCTATATCGTATTTGACGTACGACAGAGCTGACATGGCGTTTGCCCACTATGGACCCTTTTGGCGACAGATGAGGAAAGTGTGCGTCATGAAGGTTTTCAGCCGCAAAAGGGCCGAGTCGTGGGCATCGGTTCGGGACGAAGTGGACAAGATGGTTCGGACCGTGGTGAGCAACGTTGGCAAACCCGTGAACGTTGGTGAGCTTATATTCGCTCTAACGAGGAACATAACGTACCGAGCCGCGTTTGGCTCGGCTTGCGAAGAAGGGCAAGATGAGTTCATTAGGATCTTGCAAGAGTTCTCTAAGCTCTTCGGAGCGTTCAATATCGCGGATTTTATACCGTATCTTGGTTGGATCGATCCACAGGGGATTAACCGACGTCTCGTGAACGCCCGTAAAGCCCTCGATGGATTCATCGATGACATCATCGACGAACACATGAAGAAGAGGGACAAACAGAATGTTGATGATGATGTTGATACCGACATGGTCGATGATCTGCTCGCGTTCTACAGCGAAGAGGCGAAATTGAACGAGTCCGATGATCTTCAGAACTCGATCAAGCTCACTCGTGACAACATCAAAGCCATCATCATGGTAAGCATAACATCGATCCATCTTACAATACAACCGTTTCTCGTAACCTATCGTATTAATACGAATATCTACGGACATACGGTCAAACATTTATACATGCAAACCATCATTTTTTTTGTACACGTGAAAGCTGGACATAAATATGTAATAAAATCTACGTACAGGACGTAATGTTTGGAGGAACAGAGACGGTGGCGTCGGCGATAGAGTGGGCCCTAACGGAGCTTCTACGAAGTCCAGAAGACCTAAAGAGGGTACAACAAGAGCTCGCAGAGGTGGTGGGTCTCGACCAGCGCGTGGAGGAGACGCACATGGAGAGGCTCACCTTCCTCAAGTGCTGTCTGAAAGAAACCCTAAGGCTTCACCCTCCCATCCCTCTCCTCCTCCATGAGACCGCCGAAGACGCCGAGATTGACGGGTTCTTCGTCCCGAAGCGGTCTCGCGTCATGATCAACGCATTCGCGATCGGTCGCGACCCGAATTCGTGGTCCGACCCGGATAGATTCGACCCGTCGAGGTTTCTGAAGCCTGGTGTGCCGGATTTCAGGGGGAGCAATTTCGAGTTTATACCGTTCGGGTCGGGTCGGAGATCGTGCCCGGGTATGCAGCTCGGTTTGTACGCTCTCGACTTGGCGGTGGCTCATCTTCTTCATTGCTTCACTTGGGATCTGCCGGACGGGATGAAGCCCGGCGATCTCGACACGGACGACGTCTTCGGCCTCACCGCTCCCAGAGCCACGCGCTTGATAGCCGTGCCCTCCACGCGCCTCATCCCCTCCGTCTACTGACACGTGGCTTTTGAGATGTGAAAAGACGAAACAATCCCTTGTGGTTGTGGGTTCATTCAGGGTTTTACTTGTGGAAGGTGTTTGTACGTAATCTGGCTGGAGAGATCGTCTCTCTTTTGTTTTCTCGCCTATGACAATTTTTTTCTTAAAAAAAAAAATCTATCGCATTGTTAAATAAATAATAAACTCGAAATTTAAGCGACTTCGAGAAAGGGAACCTGTAAATGTCTTTTTTGTTTTGTTTTGTCGTAATATTTTCACATTATTTAAATTATACGAAAATGATTTGTTTTTATTTTTCTTTTATTTTTGTTTGTCAAAGTTGGGATACAATTTGCATTTTTTAAATAAATTCCCCGTAATACCTTCAAGTTTATGGACCCGTGCGAACAACTCCTTGGTATATGCAATGTATATAGACCAATAACAATCTTTCTAATATGTCGACTTAATTTGAGAGCACGAAAACTATATGCTTCTATTTTCAAAGTAATTGCTTGCCATCCCTATGCCTGTATTTAGTTTCGTGTTTTAGAAAAATTAACCTACATAAATTTAGTATTAAATTTCATTAAATTGGTATGTATTAATTTAAATAATAAAGACGACTCTTAACGTAACAACGAAAAAACACTTTATCGAAATATTTTTAATGTACTTAAACTAAATTGTGGGTGTCATATGATCCAAACACAATGGAGCTCTCGCACCGCGAGACGACGAGTCAATCACTGGGACCGTACCACCATTGTCTCCATAAGTTAGATATTTACATATCTATGTAACAGCAAATTATTTAAATGAAATCAGGATTACAAAAATAAATAAATAAAGATTTTCACGTTCCTTTGTCGTCGTTGGAAAAAAATCTAGCAACCAATAACAATATCGGAAAAATCTTAAAATCGTGGGCGCATACACAGTCCATAAAAAAATGTGCAGTTACTCTACATTATTTATCGGCAAAGTTATTAATGAAATTTTGGAACGGTCGGTTATATTATATATCCATAATGTGTACGACATTAAATTATTTATCCATAAGTGTGTGTGTGTGTGTATATATATATATAATACATTAACTAATGGGTCACAATGACAGGCGAGGAGGGTATTTGATTATTTTCGTTTTATTCCTCGCGAGAAAAGAGAGAGAGACAAAGCAGACGCCGTTGCAGAATCTGAATGGAAGACAATATTACACGTTACACGAAGTTAACCAGACAGTTCCAGTTCCATGGTCCGTACGTAACATTAACTAGCTAGTGAGATAAAACTATAATTATATATATATATATACACACACACATTAAATATACATTTTCATTAAAGATGGCTTCGAATCTTACGTGGGCTGCTGCGGTAGGAAGAAGATAGACGAAAATTTCTTGATAATCATTAATTCGTTTCTTCGTGTAGTGTGGGGCTTCACTTTGAAACTTTGCAAATCTATTTTTCGAAAATTAAAGGAATTACGAGACCAAACCTCTTTTCATCGATAATTTATTTATTGACAAAGCCAAGAAAACTGGACGGCAGGTTAGCTCCAAGACGGCGACGTTTCACTTATTACAAAGCAAAATATCATAAATTCGAACATCTGACTAGTCAGAGATCCATCTAAAGAACCCTTTGATTTGATGATATATATTCACATTTTGTTTTATTTTTTTCCGAAAACTTTTTTTTTTTCCTGTTCATGGTTTCTAGGTCAAACAAAGGATACGTGCAACGTTGAAAAAAATAGAATAAAAGAACAAACCATATTTTTTAATCTTTTACGACGGCTTTGTCCGATTCGGACAAAAAGCACGAATTGGTTGCGTATCTACAGAGTGAACATTACTGTTCCAACATGAAAAAAAAAGGGTGTGAACTAGATCTTTGTTAGGTATATGCTCAAGTGTGAATAAAGAGAAACTACAAAAGTACAATTAAGTAATAAAAAAATAAAATAGATTTCTCAACCATTCAACACAAAACATTGCTAGATAAAAAAATATAATCATAAAATATCTTATTTAATCTATATAAATATTTAGATAAAATCAAATTTAATATTATGATAATATTTTTTATATCTTCAGATGGTTTTTTAGAATATTCTTCATACATACATATATATATATATATATATATATCACTGATAAGAGGAAATGAACATCACAGCAAACTTGATTAAAGCCTCATCACTTCAATGATACAACAATTTCGACTGATGCAACCATGTTTTTTTTATAGTCCACCACCTCAAAAAGGGTCTCTAGGGTTTTATTACTTGCGTGAGAATCTATCTAAAAGGTTAAACGTTCTCTTCTATTACTTGAAAGGAAAATATCAAAACGACGTCGTTTAGAGAAATTACACTTTTATGAGAAAGAGCTATTCAAAGAATGAAACCTACGACCATATGCGTGTATATATATATATATATATAATACAAGATGATCCTACATGTTCCATTACATCCATTAAGACAATAATTTCTGCTCTCTTTTTTTTAACCTAATACAAACAATGAAGATTACAGTCTTCGAGTGCACATTCTTACAGTAGTGAAACCCTAAAATCTGAATCAATGATCCCGCAGTAAAAACACCAACCTACGTGAGTTTCTTGCTTTCTTGTAAAAATTTACAGACTCTGCTCCTTAGATCCACCCACCCTTTTTCATGATCTGCCTGTTATTACCTTTTGTGTAATGTCTCAGATTCCCCCCCCCCCTGCAAAACAAAAATTATGAGCACAGCCTACCATCTACCACCACACGTTAGATCCATTGCTCGGCTTGGGATGTTCATCAAGCTTAACACCCTTCTCTAGCCGGCTAAAAATCCGCTGTTTTTCGACCGCGAATGCATTTGCAGATCGTTCGTGGAGCTCATGGCATCACCTTTGCTTACATCAAGAGCCGGGCTAAGCCTGTCAGCCGGACTGAAGCAATCGTTCAACGAATGCCGGGTCAATTCCTCAGGACCACGGAATGATGAAGTAGGGGAAGAAGGTAAGCCCTTTTGGGATTCCATGGCTTCCACTTCAGCCAAAAGGTCTGAAACAGATTCATCACATTCGTCCGGGTTTGCCACAATTGTTTGCCAGTCCGCGGATGTAGATCCAAGACTTGATTTGAAAGTAGGGCTGAAAAGATCTAAGAAGTCAATCTCTTGATTGTCCGTGAAAGACACCAGACATGAGTTAGTGTCCAGTACAGTCGAAGCACTGCTTGGAGTAGCAGCATTCCAATTCTGGCCACATGACTGAGCCGTATTACCTATGGTTGCAGCCACCTGTTTCTCGGTCCCGCAGTAAAGTCCATTACCATTTTGAATGGATGCATTCCATTTTTCATGCACCAGAGAACTGCTTGTGCTCGGGTTTCCGGGAAATGTGGCCAAGGAAAGTGAGCAACTTATCTGGCTTTGACCTAGAAAAGGACTATCATCTTTTGGTTTGTTCCAGAGTGGAACAGAACCCAATGCCTGTCTCTCCGTGGAAAGAGCAAAATCCAATGGCACGGTATTATGACCGAAAGAAGTGTTGCTCGCAACTGAGTTCCTCGTGATGATGCTGCTACTGCTGGAAATGATACTCTGGTCAGCGCATACCGGATTTGGGCCGACATCTAATACTCTACTGTCTACTCTGGTAGTATCCACGCCCCCATTCCTGCCGGTAGAAAAGCCAATCACTTCCTCGGCAGGCATACAATGTTTCTGGGGTGACCCTGTTTGATTGAATTCTCCGTTTAGTGCATCAGTCAATAGTACGGAATCATTGTGCTTTTCACTCGACCTCCATACTCTCAAATCCGGCGGGAAATGCCCGCTCGAGTTCCATTGTCTCAGGTTTGACATTGAAAACGGCCCTTGAATCTTCCCATTTGGATCTCGGTACAACCATTCTCGACTCGCACCCAAAGCATGATTTGGTTCACTTGACAAGGAAGCATCAACAGAGGGGAATTCTTTGGAAAGGGCAACAGAAGTTTCGGATCGTACTACTGCTTGATCTCTGCCATTGGAAGTGGAAGGTGCAACATGATTATTTAGTTCGGTCGATTGCTGTGACTCTCTTCCTTGTAGCCATTCAGATCCATTCAACCTATCATTGTTTCTGTCTGCCCCTGTCTTGATGGGTATTACTTCGGTACCTCCTCTGCTAGAGCTACTTGTAACACGAGACATGTCCTGGTCGAGGAAGTGATAATCAAGAAGCTTTAACATTTGCAAGTGATCTACTCGCTCCTTCCCAAACAATCCCATGAGCTTCGAGTCACACACTATTTGAGAGTTCTGACAAGGATCTTGAAGATTGTTTCGTCGAACGTGTTCTAGAACAAGAGTCTGGACGTCATACTTAGACAGGACGGAGGTATCACCATTTTTCATATACCCCACAAACTGCAAAAGCTCATTCGTCGCCCATTCAGTACGACCAGGCAAAGAACCCGATTTATTGCCAGAGGCAGCTTCAGTTTTCCTTGTTTTTGCATGATGCACTTTCACATCCCCACAAGGATTGTGAGAGAAAGAAATATTGCCATCATCATGGTCAAAGAGCCGGTTCTTAAGTTTTCCCTTAGAAGAAGTAGAGGACGCAGATTTCCAGGGATTTTTTGCTTTGGTAAGATCATCTAAGGACAAAGATAGCTTTTCTTTGAGGGAAACCCAATAGATCTTGAAAAGATATTCCCAGCTGCTTTGATCATCAAAATCAACCTGAACCCGGAAACGTTACATTGAAAACAACTAAAATTTTAGAAACCAGATAGGGAAATGATATAGAATAACCTTGAGCAGCAACATTAGCATTGCTAGCAAAGAAATCTTGAGAACACCAAAAAGAAAGCAATGGAACAGATTTGTAAATTGGAGCTCTGGATTAGAGAATAATTTCCCAATGCTGAAATGCAGGTATAGAAGAAGAAAGCTGGTAAACAGTAAAAGATAGATTCAGATACCTTTTCTTTATTAGCTTCGGCAGCATTCTCAATCAGCATTATTGTTTTCATGCAGACTTTGCAGAATCCCTTGTCACCACGGACAACCACGTACTCGGAACTCCTCACGCATCTCTTGCATATTGAATACGGACAAGTATAGCACATGTAGAATGAACCCTTGTGACAAGTCGTACATATGTGCCAACCTGAAGTTCATCATCATTATTAATGCTTTAGAGACGATCCCATTTCAATGTATTGCCCCAAGAGACTCGTGAATGCAAGATTCAGTGATGCTTTGACACGTTAATAGATCAAATGCATTACCAGATTTTTGAACTACTCACCGCAATTCCATTTAGCCCTTGATTTGAAGAATGCCTCAGTACGCTTGACACATGCTGGGTGATAAGCCTTTGGACATCCCCTGACAGATTAAGAAAGTCGCTATGAGGAACAACACTTCAACATTGTGCCTGAACTTTCCATTTCAGGAAGTAAAAACATGTCTGATCTCTATTAAGCATTATCTACACCTATATCTCTGTGTAGGATGCTAAATTTAGCTTTAATTCTGAATGCCCAAAACGCAATTCCCTCCAAAGCATCCTTAGCTCACTCGAACCCACTTACCGGCGATCGCAGACTACGAGACTACCGCCATCGAAGCACACGAAACAGACATCCTCTTCCTCTCTACGCTTCCGCTGCTGCGAGACCGTAGAAGGCGGAGACGACGCATCTTTAGCCAGAGACCTCGGCGGCCGACCTCGCCTCGCCGGCGCCGGGCGTCCGGCGCTCCTCTGCAAGCAGCCCGGCACCGCGAGCTTAACCTCAACATCCACCGGAGCAACGTCGTAACTCCCGGCAGCGGGAGCCTCGAGGAGCCCGGAATCACCCAATTTCTCATCGGCGGCGCATTGATCGACTCTCATGAGATCGAATTCAGGCATCGAATCGTCAACACGCAGCTGTGGCGACTCCGAATCCGAAGCCGAAGACTTCTCCAGCTCAAGCCGTGCTAGCAATCCAACACAAAAAAAAAAAAAAAATCAGAACTTGAACCCAAGAAATCGGAAGAATCCGAAGTCGAAGAACGGAAAGAGAGCGTGTGAGAGAAAACAAAATTTTATAAAAAAAAAGAAAGACCCTAACCCTAGGGATGGGAATTGGGAAAAATCGAGACGGAGATGGTAGAGGGGAGATGGTCGCGTGTAGAGAGAGGAGACACAGTGGGCACATGGAAAATGGACTGACTCGGAGAAAGCAGGAGAGAGAACGAGAGATATGACAAAGCAGTGTTTGGCTGTCCCCTTTTTTTGACTTTCTAGAGAGAGGGCGCTTTTTTCCTTTGCAAACGCAGATCGAAGGAAGGTGGCCACGTGGACAAAGTGGGACCCAGGCGCGGCTTCGGAGTGAGTGGGGGAGTCTATGAAAAATGAAAGTGAACTACTTTAGATTGATGTCGTGTTGGGAATTTCAAGGTCTCTCCTTCATCCGTCCATCCACCTAAACCCTATTTTATTTAGTTCATTTCTCGTTTTCTGACCAAACATAATTAATAGCTCTTGTTAGAAAGTGGCCGAAATTATCTATAATCGTACGTATTATCAACCGCTTATGATTAGAATAATGGCGCCCTAATCTTCATACTTTAACACACCTGTCACGTCCACCTTGCCACAGAAAATTTGCAAGTTAAATTAACAAATTATTGATCATACGCAAGAATCATCAAGTTCATCCACCCAAAACAGGATTAACATAACATGCTTCTTTAACAGCGCTTAGGACAATCTTCAACTCTGACTTTTGTAAGAAAAAATATACTAATTATTAAAAAAAAAGGAAAAAACAACTCCAAATGGGTACCCGAGGCAAGAAGATTCAGAATATGTAGAACGCCAAATATACAGTAAAAAGCCATTTGTTTGATAACTATCTTTGTTACATTACGTGTGGTGTTGTCACTTACAGAGTACAGTAGAAAGTACAAGAAACAACAGAAGCAGCTACCCACAAGTCAGAACCAACGCTTTTGATTTGGAGCTTTCCAGGATATGGACATGGAACTCAAACTCAGCAACTGCGTGTAATAAAAAGATGGCTGGTTTGGTTCTACTACATGGAACTCCTACGCTGTCCACGACACTCTGAAAGCCAGAGATCGATGTGTTCTACCATCTGTTGCCTCACTTTCTTCACCGCATCTGGCGAACTGCAATTCTTGGCGCTTCCTGTTATCAGATCATAAAAATCAACATTTACGGGCTACTTTCGTTTCAGGGTCATGATCATGATCATGATCATGATCATGATCATGTCGAAGAAACGGCATGTATATGTACGTGCACAAATACCTTCAATGACTAGTGGAGATTGGGGGCATCCTCGTAGATCGGTCCCATGGCCACAGTTGTGGCATGTTATTATGTAGGACGGCACTGGTAACAATCAATCAAGACATATCAACGCTAACTTTGTCTTGTCAGTATATCTTTAGGGTTTTGACCAAAGCGAAGGGAGGACTAAGACTTACGATCAGGAGATGAGGTTTGCTTGGAGGCATGGCGCCATGGATCTTGTGACCCATTCGTGAAAATGATTTTCGTAGCTGCAAAATAGTGAAACCATGAAGCAAAGACAGGACAGCCGAGTTCCGGAAAGAGAACAAGAAGCATCTAGAAGGTTCAGAGCTGCCGCCACATACCGACAATTTTATCGCCTCCATAATACAGATTTGTTGCATCAACTTCAGGATAAACACCCTTCCCAAACAAAGACCTGCATACATCCAAATGATACCTACGCAGACAAGAGAACAAGAGTTAGGCTTGTGAACTACAAAGGGTTTGTATATCTGAGAACGCAATGTCTTGACTTGTCTTGTGTCTGTTCTGATGTAAGCACTATACTCTGTATTCACTTGCTGAGACCGGACACTATCATTTGCCGGTGCCACCTGAAAATACGCCACTTCGGTGCAAACTTGGAACCACCAAAGCCGATCTGCGCTGTCTTTGGTAACGGCAGTTTCTCTCAGATGTTTCCTGCTGTATGTTTTAGCACTCAGTCCAAAAACTCCCATGCAGAACTCTTTGACGTATTTGGCATACGCTTCCTGAATTATATATAAAGTGCGGAAACAAAGATTTCAGTTTGCAAGGCGATACACAGATGTATACACAAAACATAAACAAAGAGAGAAGAGAGATTCTACCACTAAATCACTTCCGCTATCCTTCGCTCCAACCATGGGGATACACAGTTTATCAGGGTTTCCGTATTGGAACTGCAATGCTTTGAGGCGAAATCGGGAAAAGAACAGAAAAAAAAGAAGAAAAACATGAAACCAAAAGATAGAAAAGGGATATCCTTACCGCCATAACTGCTGCATCAGCGATGAAGTACAAGAAATCAGCATCAATGTCAAGCTGCAGATACATAAACTAATCGAACTGAAGCTGGATATTCCATTTTCATGAAAAACAATTCCCATCAGAGAGAAAGAGAGAGAGACCTCGGAGGCGTTGAAGAGTTCTTTCACCGCCTTTCCATTCACTTTAAGCATTTGTTCGAGGAGTTCATTAGTCTCCTGAAGAACGGCTTTGCATTCAGGACCGGCAGACTCACCAATCTGCTCATATGGTAAAAAAGCCAAACCGTTAAGTGGTTAATGATGTTTCTTTTACTTGAAGATTCAGTACCGTTTGTCTTCACATTATCATAATCACTCCCAAATCAAAGAAAGAATGATTTATTACCTGTTGATCGAACTCAGGGAACTCGTAGACAGCACGAACAACTGCAGAACTGGCAAGACTTCCGCACGTCAAATGAGGGAACTTAAGACGGAACCACGCGCTTAGAGCCCCGGGATAAGATGTCCCGAAAAAGAACCATGGATTATCAAAACCACTGCTTCTGTTCAACCTAACATCCATAGAATCCTACACAACATGGAAGATCTCGCATGAATCACAGCCCATAAAACAACAAAAAAATGTATGCTCATCAATGGCAGACATGACTTGTAAAGTAAATATGATCATGAGAAAAGGAAGGCAGAATACTTGCCTGGTAATACCGACGGAAAGCGGCTAAATCGAAAAGGGCTTGTTTCGATGATAGATATCTAAGATTCTCTGTGGCCAAAGAGTTGAATGGTGAGCTCTTCCCATAATACCGATGCTCGAGCGAAACTACAGCCGCTTCGAACTTCTTTGCTAATACCTAAATCACATGTTGTCTCATTATTACATTCACAGGACACGAACATCGCGTAAGAACAAATCGGTAAATTGCCCCTATGATCCTTCGGATTATGAAAAAGCTTACACCGAGATAATCGTTGGGGATGCCATTGCAAGGACCTTCCCCGCAGATTCTCAGAAAGATTGGCCCATCGGGTGCCCGGAAATAATCTAGGAATTCATAGTATCGCTGTCTGAATTTGCGGTGATCCTGGGAAAGACGATTCCGATCCGAAATTTAAACTACCAACAAAAATCGAATCAAATGAAACCGCCAGATATGAACGGAGAGAAATCGATTCGTGGGAAACAGAGAAGAGGGGTTACGTAAGGAGAGTAGTGATCAAGTGTTTGATTGAACCAGAGCTCATCCGAGGTCAAGTAATAGCCGCTCGTGGACAGGCCATGAGACAACGTACGAGGAGGCACTGAGCCATGGGATAAGGCCGAAGCAGACAACAGGACCGTGAAAGTGAACAAGGCGGTGAAGAAATTCTCCGGCGACATTGCCATCGTCTCCGGACGTCCGGTCTTCTCCGTATTTGTTTTTTCTTCTCGACTGTATCGCCAACGAGAGTGTTTCAGAGGGAGGGAGACGTTGGAAGAGGAAACAAGGGATGCAACCGCATGAATCTTGATCAACCACGATAATTTTGGACGGTCAAGATTTTGTTAACTAGAAATCGACGGTCCTCATGAATCTTGATCGACCAAGATAATTTTGGACGGTCAAGATTGAGTTGACCAGAATCTCTGAGCGGATAAGAGTCTCCTATGTTGTTCATGAGATCCGATGTCTTGGTTCTCTTCTTTTTCTTCTTTGGACTGCAATTCGAAGTATTAAAGATTGTTTGTTCTAATATTCGCGAGTGTTTTTTTAACAAATCGAAAAATATTGTGGAAAATAATATAATTTGAGTACTACTATATCTATAACAATATAAATCGTATAATTAGAACCGATCTAATTTCTTCTAAAAAAATTTAAAATTGTATTCCTTTTTCTTATGAAATTGGTTTCTATATTCAAAGTTTATTATTATTTTAGTTATGTTTACTTTATTTCGGTTATAATTTTTAATACTTTCCAATTTATTTATGTTTAGTTATTTTATTAGTATTTATTTTTACATGTTTTTTATCTATAATTTCATTTTGTTTTATATTTTATGATTTTCTGTTTTATTTTTTTTAAACAAAAAGATGTAGTAAGCTATCATATGATTTTATTTTATAGTTAAATGCAAGAAAGGGTGAGTAGCTTTTATTTATTTAAAAGGATTTATGATCCACATGGGCCAGTCTAAAGAGATTGGTACAAGATTGGGTTTGAGCTTAGGGTTATTCATGGGCTTAAAACAGTTGTCTGTTCCCAAGCCTTTAGATCGCAAAGGAAAGGACTCAAGGAGTATTAGTTAGGGGTGGCCAATTCGGGTTTTGGTTCGGGTTCGGTTCGGATTCGGTTTGGTTTTGGTAAAAAGTTCAATTTTTTAAAGAAATTATCGGTTTTTCTCTCGGTTTTTTCGGTTATTTTTTATTCGGTTCGCTTCGGTTTCGATTTTTCGGGTTTAAGGAAATCATAACCGTTCGGTTTTGATGTCGGATTCGGTTCAGGTACGGTTATGTCTTATTCGGTTCAGTTCGACTTAGTTATTCGGTTAATAACCGAAATGACCACCCCTAGTATTAGTTAAGCTTTGTCGGGTTCGACTTGGACCATTTAAGCCCATAAGTAACATTAGCAAACTCCATATGGGCGTTTATTGGGCTTTCACTCTTCAACTTAGATTTGAGGCCCAAAACCCATTTCAGATTCCCACGCGCCCCTTCTAAGGAAGAAACTATATTAAAAAAAAATTCAATCGTTTCTATTATATACATATATGTTAATGCGAAAGAAAACCATGCAATTGAAAAAAAATGGAAAGATCAAAGAAAATGAATAAAGTTTAAGAAAAAGGAAAAGAAGATATTGAACAAAATATTAGAAACAAGAAGATGAGCTATGTATAAATACAAGACTTGGAAAATACAGAAAGGTATCACAGCAGAACAGAAAAAGAGAGTAAAGAGTAAACGAGTTGGAGAATCATAGGTATGGGAAACACGAGTGAGAAATACTTGAGAGAGAGTGAAGTGCATCTGAGAGGGAGCCTTCAAATAACAGACGAACCGCTCAAAGGGCCTAGACGAGTCTAGGGTTACACGGGGTGTGTGAGGTATACATAGTGTATGGGCTGATAGAATTCATGTTGTAAGGGGGAACACAAACTCAGAGGGAGTTGTGTTCTTGTGATGGATTAGAGTTTAGGGTTTAGGGTTTAGAGTTTACTTTTTCAATATATATATATTGTAATCATATCGAATATGGTGTGATTAAGTTTTGGATAAAGGATTTCACATTATTCTGTTTATAACTCTTTCATCGTACACATCTCGTTAATTTATTTTCCCAATTTACTTGTTAGTAACGTAATTGCTTTACGAATACAGCTTATTATATCTTCCTCGTAAAAGCGAATCAGTATTCGCTCGTTACGATTGTGTATAGTTTTCATTATTCTTCCATTAGAGAGAAAAGAACATCGTGGCTGTAGTGAGGGTTCGTGACTATTATCTATGCTCGTGATTTTCAATGTTTTACCTGAAAAGAATGCCAAAGAGTATTCACCCACACGTTCATCTTTGAGCCAATGACACTTATCATGGCGGCAAGCGCGTATAGATACACACGTACATGAAATTTTGGAAACCATAGACAAATTGTACACCATAATGAAATTATTATGTACGTGAGCAATCCATCAATCAACAGTAATAGAACTCGTGATCCATTGCCTTTTTTCCCTTTATAACAATTTTTTTTTTTTCTTGCGGAATCATTTCAAGAATATTTTCTTCCGAAACCCAAAAATGCAACAATTAGTTACATAAATTTGACCATGTAATTTGTAATGTTTTCTTATATGATATATTACGTGATATGCCATGAATATAGGTTACAACAATAATTCAAGAGAAATCCGCGTCTTTTGGTGACCCTGTTGATGAATTTCAGCCTATATATTAAATTCGAATACAATTATAAAGGGCAAGAAAATGTTTGCAATTTAAATTTCATAGCAATGAGATAATCTCCTAGAGAAGGAAAAATTAAAGAAGTAGACAAAAATAAATACAGAAAAAAAGTGAAGATTTGACACAAGTGATGTGAAAGAGGTACAATTGAATTGATGTGGCACAATCCAATTCGCCAATTTTGTCAATTGGGTCCCATATATAATTAGCATCCTAATAATCCACATGTCCAAATCCAAAGCACAAGAGGGTTTGTTGAAGTTGAAGCAAGTAGCTTTCGAAGCTTTTGGACAAAACGTGTATAAATCAAAATTATATATTTTTTTTTTAAAAAAAAAGGGGGAAAAGGAGAGAGAAGCATGAAGCGTGTGTGTGTGTGTGAAACACAAGCAAAGACAATTAAGTGAAGGGATGAATGAGATATTATTGCCGTGAGTCAGTTTCATACGCGTTATCATCACCATCCTTCAATTCATCGATTTTGACATTGACCCACCGCACTCAAATCTATAGTAAATATGAAACAAATATACAAATTGTACTTGTGTATTGAAACGACAACACTGTGTGATATAATCTTATAAGCTCCTGTCTAGGGTTTATGCGCATATATATGATGGCACTGCATATATATATAAACTATCGAAATTAATTTAAAAAACTATGGAGTAAAACTTTTGATTACATTTATCCATTTCATAAATGAAATTGAGGATATACGTTTATACCTCACTTTTTAAATTTAGATGGATTGACGTTGGACCAACCTATTGTTCACTAAACACGAGTAGAGGAATATTCTTGTTCAAGTAAAATATGTGTATCCATCAACATGAATAAAATATCATCATTTGTAACCTTACGCCTGTATAACCCATATATATATACGACACAAAATCATCCATGCATTCACATGTCACAGTCACACACACACACACACATATATATATATATATATATATATATATATAATATTGATATTGATGTCCTATTCATTGTAATTCTTAAATTTCAATCAGATCTCACCATAATGTGGCTAGTAATGTGAATGCGAGTACGAGATCCATACGTACGCTTTCTAACGTTTCTGAATATTTTTTTTCCGTTATGCTTATATCGGCAAGAAAAATTCAACCTTCCACAAGTTTCTGATATATATAACTTTATTTATTTTTTTCTCTCGATTTAATCATTATACTATCAAAACCCATATGGTAAAATGGGTTGCAAATGAAACCGAAGTGCTGGTAGTTGTTTATGTATCCATGAATGACAAGCAGCTTTTCCTCACTCCTCTCAGATATTATTACGTACCCACGTTCATATTAACTCCCACGGTGTGTGTGCGTCCACTCTCTTCTCATATAATGATCAATCATCGTCTCTTTATATCCACGATTTCCATTTTGTTAGATCTTTAAATCATATATGTCACAGCTCCTAGTGAAATATGCTGTATATGTTGCAATAAGATTATTAAAAAAAAATGGTTTGTGTATATCAAGCTTTTGTCTTACACCTTGAGGGGGAAAAAAGCTATGATATATAATAACATGAGAAGTTGTCTCGACGAGTAGACGTTTATATGAAACTATATATTAATGTCATGTTGATATATGATAAGGTGAGTATACGTACACACGCACACGAGCTATATATATGGACAGGTGCGTGTGTGTCCATAATGGGAGTAGTGGGTGACAAGAAGGAAAGGAGTGAAATTCAAGATTGTTGCCCTATTATAAAAAGCTATACAAAATCCCACATGCACAATATAATATTTATGATTACGTATTGCACCAAAAATAAAAATTATCCATTTATCATATTAATTAGAAAGTGTGTATATATATCTTCAAAACTTATAGCAAACACACATTATCTGATATCCATATTTAAAAATTGATTTTTGGATGGAAAACATAAACGTTAGAGAAAATGCAATAATGTTTCAACGCAGATCCAATGACGGTTCATGCATGAATATTTCATCGCACAAAATTAATTATTAGTTCACATTTTACAACATCATCTTTGCAATTTTCCAAATTTATTTTAAAATTTTCAGGATTTTTAGAGGTATAATGATTTAAATCCTTATATAGTTACGATTTAATTACCCCTTCTTTGCGAGTTAATGAACTATACTTATATATATATATATATAATTAAACATGTAAGATGAATATGTATATGAGAAGAGTTTGGAGGAAGGTCATTGTCACAGGTTTTGAAAGATCCTTAGTTGGGCCCCACATTTGGATCCTCTTTTAATCGTTACGCTAACTATCTTTTTTTTTAATATATATATATATATTCCACGGTTCCACTAGCAAAATTATTTTTGTCTATTAATTCTCTGTATCCAACTACGATCGAGTATTGAATAGTGTGAATGATAAATGGATCAAAATCGTTATAAGAACACAAAATTTACAATTACCCATATATTTTGTTTTCATTTAAATTCCATTAATACCGGATATTTTGGATTTAAAACCCATACACGTTTTGTTTTGTTTTAAATCCCGTTAATAGCGAGAAACTCAAATACCCTATCTCAAACAAATTAAAATTATTTAACTAAAAAATTTAAAAAATCTTCCAATGTGGTAAAACTAAAAATAAGAAAATAAATTAAAAGCTCTGGGAAGTGGTGGGACCCATATAGGATGAGATATAATTATGAGGTCCGCCGCATGAATAGAGACCGCCGGCCGACCCACCACCGTCCTACGTGGACTCTTTATTTCCAGTTACCCATTTTTATTGTATTTTGTTTTTATTTCGTGATTTGATTGTTTCATTTATCGTCTAAATCTTTCCCACAAGTGTGTAGCTAAGAGGTGGAAAAACGAGTGGTAACTCACCACAAAATGAGATGATGATTATAGCTCGAAGCATTTGTCGCGCCTATCGGCTTGATTAATGATGATTATTACTTCTTCCTTTTCCCATTTCAATTTTCTTTTCACATTACTTTTTTATCCGCTCTCATCCCTAAATAAATCTTTTCATAATGACCCAATTATCATTCGTCTCCGCATAACGTATATAGTATACTTACACACATACACACATATATAATTAGATCATTAAACCTCGTGATTTATAGATGAGTTTCTTGTGGATATATAATTATTAAACAATATAAAGCATACAATATGGAGAAACATAACCTTCGGCCAAAATGCTCGTATTACTTTATTTTGACAGTCGTAATGGATATGAATAATCCAATTAAATAATGTAATAATAGGTATCATTTCATCTATATATTACTAATTAACATAATAGGAAATGTGAGTCAATAATAGAAAATTATACGTAATTTCAATTGAGAGTGTTGCCCTATTACTCGAAATAATTGGGATGCCACCGTAAGTATATGTGTATATATAGTAAATGACCAATATACTCCTCTATGAAACGAACGGGTGGAGGGTAGTCTGGTAAGTAGATAGATGTTGTGAGGCCGAATGTAAAACGGACGTGTCGGCTCCACGTGGCGAAGGGACATATCTGTTATGCCAGCGTGGCATTTATGGGGTTGTCAGAATATTCGTAGCATTTCAAACACTTAAGTTTAACATGTCTGCCTGACGGACCATACTTGGTTAGAAATAAATAAAATCTACCACATTTATATTTAATTCCTTTAAAATTTGACATATTCCTGTATCTTTTGTGAACGATGAGTTCGAGTATTTTATTTTATTTTTTTACTATTGTCTCTATATACTTCAAATGACAAACTTAAAGTTTGTTATATATCAATTTTTTGGTGTAAACCTAAAATCCCCGAATTATTTTTTGGACGGTCCTAATGCCGTACGTCGGACAATTTCAATAACTTTGTTGGGCCATATCATATAATAAAATGTAATCAATTTGGAACTAAGCTTCCACGAAAATGCTCTATTCTTCTTCTTTTTATAAAAAATATTCCGAATATAATTGTGGAATATTGATATATGGGTGTAAAAATTCACGAGGAAGAATGAAGAAGAAAACAAAGGGAAAGAATGACGTAAGCTAATAAGGACACGGAAGGCCATGCGCAATCGAGCGGTCCACACGCTTCTCACATTCCTTTCTCTCTTTTTTTTTTTTTATATTCTCCATAGATAGGATAATAATATCATATCTCTCTTCCTTCTTCTTCTTGCCCCGAGAAACAAAAACTAAGTTTCTATAATCTCTCCCCGATCCGATCTCGACCGTCTCTCTTTTTCTCAAGCAGATCTTTCCTTCTTGATTTCTCACCGACCCATATCTTGTTTACGCTGTTCATGATCTTCTCTTGTAACACGTACGATCCTCTCTCTCTATATATATATTTGTGTGTGTGTGTGTGTATTATCGGTTTTCATCGTTTCGTCTTCTTTTATATATGTCACATAAATATACTCTTATAAGATCATATATATTTCAATTTCGAAGAAAATCTTAAACCACTTTCACTTGTCAACGAGGCTTTCAAGAACTCAACAAGTGCATTGCGTCCAAGCTTGTGTGTGTGTGTTTGCCCATCTCTTTGTTTGGTTTCTTCATTTGCTACCTCGGCACACGCATATATATATATATACACATACATACATACGTCGATTTTCGTTCATTATATAAATCTCTTAGTTTTTTTTTCAATTGATCTCTTCCTCATGCTTGAGATTTTAACTAGATTGATCAGGCGTTCGAGCGATTATGTATTTAATTGCACAAGGCTTATATGTATGTATAAGAACCATTAGATTTGAATTTTGTGTGTATATATGTATATATATATATATATCTTAGGTACAGTCTCATGTACATAGCCTTTCCAAATTGGAATATAAAAACAACACCGAGTTTCGAACTTTTTTATCGTCTTCTTGTTTTTTTTTTTTTTTTGG